CTCCATGTTCCCTGCTTCCCAGTCATTTTTGACACCCTTGCCTGTATTGACTTGTGTGAGAAAGGGAGAGTTGGGGTGGGGAGGAGGAAAACTCGAGAGGAACTGAGTGTGCTTGGTTCCTCCACTCCTTTACCGCATCTCCGACCCCCTGCCCGCGCCCAAGTGCAAATGAGTGCAAAGGAGGGAGGTGGAGGGAGTACGCTCACAAGCATCCTCTTTAGCTAGGTGTGCTTGCATAAACGTGTGTGCGTTTATGATTTTATATGCGTGCAGATAGGCATGTGCACTGTTGCATATTTGCAAGTGCATAGTGCCTGCCAAGATAAATACATGCACGCATGTGTATCTAAGCAAGCTCGAGCCGCGATGCGAGTGCATGTATGTGTCTGTGTGTGCTTTCCACTCCCAGCTCGGCTCATCTTAGTGCCCGGCCCCTTCGCTTTCCAAGCCCCACCCCCCACCCCTCCGGGCTTTGCTTTTACAAAAGGTCTCCCCAGTGCTAGCCGTGGAGGCGCCCAGAGTGAGCCGGACCGCGGCTGAAGCTGCAGTCTCGGCTTTGCGCCCCGCCCAGTCCCCTTCCCCTGCTGGGGATCCCCCACTTCCCCGCCCACCCCCTTACCCCCCATGCAGCCTGGCGCCCTATGCTAGCCCTCCCCCTCCCCTCCTCCTGGAGCGGGGCGCCGCCTGGGGAGGAGGGGGAATCGGCTGCCGGTCCTTGGTGTTCCTAGCACCCAGCTTCCCTCCAAGCCCGGTCACAATGTACGACTGCATGGAAACGTTTGCCCCCGGTCCGCGACGGCTGTACGGGGCGGCCGGGCCCGGGGCCGGCTTGCTGCGCAGAGCCACGGGCAGCTCCTGTTTCGCTGGACTTGAGTCTTTTGCTTGGCCGCAACCCGCCAGCCTGCAATGTAGGTACCCGAACCCGGGGTTAGGGTATGGGGTGCAAGAGAGGCAGTGGCTTACCCTTGCCGTGTGTAAAAGGTGGAACTGGGGTGAGGAATGGGTGTGTAGGAAAGAGAGGTACTGGCCCTTTAAACGTGGGGGACCTTAGCGACTCCTTTGGGTGTGTGCAGTAGTGTTTGGAGCGTGTGTGGTTTTTATGGTGGGTGTTTAAGACCTGTGGTTGATGCCATTCCAGAGTTTCTGGGAATAGGGAGACACCGAGGTGTATCGATAGTTTGTGCCCGCAGGTCCTTGGCTCCGGAAGTATATGGCACCCTGAACTGAGGGTGCCGTTTGTGAAATCCATGTGAGATGTTGGGAGTGTAAAACATTATTTCAGAGCGTGTGATTCCCAGGAGTGGGCAGCGCTTTGCCTCGGCGGGTATGGGTGTGAGCGTAGGGGTCTCTCCAGAGTGTCGCCTTCCGACAGCGTTGGCAGGTCCGCGTGGTCTTGTGTGAGGCAGGGAAGGCGTGTGCCCCTGCGTGGTCGCGGGGGCGGTTTTGGAAAGTGCTGCGTTTGAGCGTGCATCCTGTGTGTTCTCCGCGCGGGGTGGACGCGGTTGTTCACGCAACGGGGAAGGCTGGGCTCTGGCGCCCCCCTACCCCATTCTAAATAGAAACGTTTGAAAATGTGTGTAAGGTTGTAGGCAGAGATGACTTTTTTCTATGGCTCCAATACACACAACTTAAGTAGGAAGCGAAAACTTTAAAGCAAAGTCTGTGCATGGTGGTGGGCGGGGGTTGGCCAGGAGGTGGCAGCGGCAGGCGGAGTAGGACCACTGAGTCCCCAAATACCCATCTTCCCCCTCTGTGAAATGGGAGATGCCAGGCCTGGGGCCCAGGAACCCCTTTCCAGAGCGGTAATAAAAAGCTGGGGACTGAGAGGCAGTAAAATGAAGTCCAGATGAGAGGCGGCTTTGAAGCCTGGGCCCAAGTGCCTGGTGGGGGTAGGGTATGGGGAGGGGCCGGGAGGGAAGCCTCGACCCCCCCCCCCAAATTTTCGCGGGGCTGGGACCGCGCTGCTAGCTCGGTGCGGACGCCCAGGGACCAGGGGCTTGGGGGACGCTGGAGAGGGGCGGGCCGCGGGCGGGGCGGCGGTCGCTGGGGGAGTGTGCACGCGGGGTCACCGAGCCCCCGCCAACGTGCCTCGCTCCTTGGCACTCTGCAGCGCTGTTTACGAGTTCGGCTTTTTTTCTTTTCTGTCGTTTGGTTCTAGGGCAGAGCTGCTAAGATTTAACAACTGAGAGACTGGAAGAGGGAGTTGGCAAACAGGAGACCGACCGTACTTTGGGGTGGGGTGGGGCAAGAGCTAAAAGTGTGGCATTTCAAGGATGGAGAAAGCATGGAACTATTGCTTTGCACGGAATCCTTGGGAATTCTTAATTTTCCTCTCATTGCCCAATATGATGGGGAACTGGGGTATGTTGGAAGGGGTGCTGAGGTGGAGAGAATCTCCCAGGAAGGGTTTTTGTGGGGGCTGGGCGGGGATCCGGGCCTTTTTCCGGCCCGTGGAAGCCCCTTGGGCTTGGCTGGCAGTCTGTTTTTGTATTTTAATTTGGACAAATAATTTTGGCCTCTAGGGTCTTCTTAGTGGGCTTTCTTTCGGCCTACTCTACAACACTTTCAGAGAGAAGTTGTTAGACTTGTGTCTAAACCAGGGAAGGAAGGCGGTCCTTTGAGGGGAGGGCTGCATGTGGCGCTTGGGTGTCCTGGTGCTACGTTGGCAGGCCTGCGTGTTTGTCTGGTAGCAGAGTTGCTCTCTTGCAAATGGGAAGCAGAGCGTGGGTGTTGTTGGTCTTTATGACTACAGCATGCACCTCTGCGATGTAGCTGCAGTGAGAGTGTGCCTTTATGCCCACCTGTGTGTTCTCCTGTGCCAGGGCTGCTTGGAGTATAGGAGCCCACTGGTAATATGCCTACTTTTATGCTCTGCATGTTGTTGGCATGTGAGAGTATGTGTGTCTCCAAGGAGGTGTGTATCAGATTGTGTGAGTCCGGGTTTCTCAGCCCTGGGCTTCGCAGCTGGGAGCGTTTACAGCCGGTTATAAAGAGTTTGTTTGAAGCTCCGCACAGCCTAGTCAGGAATTTCCTCAATTTCAGCAATTTGGGCTTTAAAAGGAGAACAATCCAGAGCCCATCTTTCCCAGCAGGGTCCCTGCCTAGTCCAGCAGCAGCATCCCCAAGGTGGGGTCTCAGCCCAGGGCTGAGAAGGCAGTGTGAGCGAGGTGACCCAATTAGCCTTCCTGGACCCTTCACCCCCAGTCTGCCTAGAGCCACTGGGCAGCACTAAAGGGTTCAGGGGGTAGAGGTCTGTGGAGATGGGGGTGACTGCCACTTAGATGGGAAAAGCTGCCTCCGGGCCTGACTCCCTTGGCCCCCCGGCTTGTAATTGGCTGGCGCTGCCCCATGCCAGTCTGACCGCACCCAGGGCCTTTCGCAAGAAAGGAAATGAGGCAGCGCTCTGCGGGCAGGGAGGGTGTCAGCACCGAGGGAGCACCACCCCATGCGCTGGCCTGTGGGCAGCACTTGTGCCCTCAGAGGACACCAGGAGGGGTCCTGAAAGGCATTCCAGCCTGCCCCACATTTCTCAGCACCAGCCCCTCCTGGAGCCTCCTGCCCCTGTCCTGAATAGACTCCAGGCACCCTTCTGGCCTCCTCTCCTCTCTTTCCTTTTTCATCCGGGAAGCTCTCTCCAGCAGGATTCTTATGCTAATGGAGTGTCTGTGTGTGTTGGGGGGTGGGGAGGGCTTCCCTCCCCTGGCGTGGGTGGAGCTAGCCCTTAACTCGGCATCCTGGGCATTCCTTCTGTCCTGGTGGTGTGGGGCGGACTTCTTACCAGATGGGCTGCCTTGGGTTAGAAGGAAGAAGGTGTTCATGAGGGAGGGTCTTAGGGTTTTCCTGAGAAAAACTTGAGCCTTCCAGGTTTGGGCAACAGGTCCTACAAGTTGAATAATTTTTCTAGCTTCTGAAGATCAACCACACACCCAGCAAAGGTCTACTCAGCAGCCTCCTGAGCAGAGGGTGTCCTCCTTACATGTACTCTGCGTGGCGTGGGCTGAGATCCCTTCCGAGCTGCGATTGGGTATTTGCAGGGGGAGTTTAGGAGGGGACAAAGGCTCAGAGAGGGTCCAGAGTTAGCTCCCTTCCCCCATCAACCCTGTTTACCCACTGTCACCTGACTTTTCTGGTTTGCTACACCCACAACAGCTCCTAGACCTGAGAATCTGAGCAAATACATCAGTCTCCCCTTCCCCTAAGTGGCTAGGCTGCTTAGATCTTTCAGAAGATCTGAAAGCCTTGGCTCCACTATCAACAGGCAGTGTAGCACTGAGCTGGTTACGTCCCTCTCTTGGCCCCAGTTTCTTCATGTGTAAAATAAAGCTGTTGCATATCCTCTAAGCTATTTTCCTGATAACTGTGTCCCATTTGCTCCACTGTCTCAGTGGTTCCTGGAGAAAAAGACACTGACAGTTATCTGGGGGGTTTTATGAGAGGGAAAAGATTCAGGATTATCTACCTCAATACTACTTGAGAGAAAATGAGGTCCTGTTCTACTTGCTGAGAACCCCACCAGCTGCTAGCTACGGGTGGCCAGTAACTGCCTACTCACCCCAGGATCTACTGCCTCACGAGGAGAAGGATGGTGAGAGGTCTACCTGACAAGGATGAACTAGGGAGTCCAGAGCCATGGGCCATAACCCCTCTGCTCACCCACTTTATAGCTGGGGAAACTGAGGCCCAGAGAAGTTAACCTCCAGGATGGCCTTGGCCTGGAATTTGGAGATTTGAGCAGTGTCACATAGGGCTCAAGCTGGCCTTCTTGTGCAGAGAGATGGCCATACTGGGAGGTGCAGTAATAGTGGTTGTTTGGGGGTTTCCAGAAGTGCTTTCTCTGGAGCTGTACATGGTTGTTAGGACTTTAAATCACTGTGATGGTGGTGGTGGTGTCACCGCTGAGCTGGAGGAAGCAGTGGGAAGGGGGTGTGTGTATGTGTGATGGTGCCTGGTGGTCTGAGGGGTCCTTCTCCTCTGACCCTCCTATCGCTGCTTCCCCCCAGCGGTGGAGACACAAAGCACCAGCTCAGAGGAGATGGTGCCCAGCTCGCCCTCGCCCCCTCCACCTCCTCGGGTCTACAAGCCATGCTTCGTGTGCAATGACAAGTCCTCTGGCTACCACTATGGGGTCAGCTCTTGTGAAGGCTGCAAGGTGTGTATGTATGGGGTGGGGTGGGTGTTGGGCATCTGGAGAGACCAGGGACCAGCCCAGAGTGGTGAGACACTGCCTGTGAGTGGGCATCCTGTGGATGAAGGAGGCTGCCTTGCACATAGGTGGTTAATGGACTGGGTCAGGCCTGAAGCCAACCTGCAAGGCCTGTGAGAGGCTGGTACTCCTGCTTCACTGACATCCCCCACCCCCAACTCCAGGGCTTCTTCCGCCGAAGCATCCAGAAGAACATGGTGTATACTTGTCACCGTGACAAAAACTGTATCATCAACAAAGTGACCCGGAATCGCTGTCAGTACTGCCGGCTACAGAAATGCTTCGAAGTGGGCATGTCCAAGGAAGGTAGGCCCCCAGCCCTGGCCTGAGCCGGAACACTCCGTCCCACCCTGCGGTTGCCACCCTCTTCCCACCAGCCACCCCCACTTGCCTGACCTCTGAGTCCTCGCCTGCCCTGGGGTGCTGCCTCCTCCCTGGCCATCCACCCAGGAGTCCCCACCCCTTCCTATTCTCCTCAGAGTTTAATCCTTCCTCTGAATGAGTGAGTGGGGGTTATATTCCCCTGTTTCATGGAGAAGTAGGGGTGAGGGGGACTGGCAAGCTCACCCCTGCTCCCAGGACTGAGCCTGAGGTAGATCTAGGGTGCCCCCCTCCCCTGCGCCATTGTGCTGCCAAGGCTATAAGTGGATATCCTGCTGCCTGCATATCCTGCCCCCCACCCCCCCAGCTCCTGCAGGGTGACAGGAAGGGCAGGATGGAGCTGAATGGCCTGGGGAAGGAGCAGAGGTTGCAGGCCCTGGGTGGGGCTGGGGAGAGCCAGCCTGGGAAATGGGAGCTAATGGGGAAATTGAGGCAGTTATTAGCACCCCAGGGAAGATGTTCACGATAAGGACTGAGCACATTAAATTAGGGTGAGAGGGGACATCCAGAGGGAGGTGCTGAGGGTCCTGACCCTCTCATTGCACCTCCACCTGCAAGCTGTGCGGAATGACCGGAACAAGAAGAAGAAAGAGGTGAAGGAAGAAGGGTCCCTTGACAGCTATGAGCTGAGCCCCCAGTTAGAAGAGCTCATCACCAAAGTCAGCAAAGCCCATCAGGAGACCTTTCCCTCGCTCTGCCAGCTGGGCAAATATACCACGGTGAGTCCAGTGAGGCCAGGGGACTAGTCACTTCGGGGAGAAGGTAGGGCTTGTGGTGGAGGCCATAGTCTGGCACTGAGAAAAAGGAGAGCCTCAGAATGCAGAGGGGAGAGCTGGGGGTTTGGCAGAAAGAAGACAGCCCTCAGTGCGGACCTTAGCTTGCACTCTATTCTGTACCCACTGCAGAACTCCAGTGCGGACCACCGGGTGCAGCTAGATCTGGGGCTGTGGGATAAGTTCAGTGAGCTGGCCACCAAGTGCATCATCAAGATTGTGGAGTTTGCCAAGCGACTACCTGGCTTTACAGGACTCAGCATTGCTGACCAGATCACTTTGCTCAAGGCTGCCTGCCTGGACATCCTGGTAATTAAGCCCTGTGGCTTGTCTCCCACCACAGCCTGACTCTCATGAGACCAAGGAGTTAGTCCACACAAATATTTCATTATTGCTCTTTCTCCCTCCAAGCTGGGACTCTGTAGACCTCCTCTAAACCCAAGCTCCTTTTATCTTAACGCCTGCCCCAACACCTAATCCTAGACTCCTGGACACCCTGCCTCCTGACTTTTCTTCCCTCTCCAAGCTTCAGATCCTCTACCTCTCTGCCTTCCTCCCCCTGTCTGCTTCCAGGTTGCCCTCACTTCCCACATGCCCCTCATTCCTTCCTTTCCCCATTCTCACTGTGTCCTTCAGAGACAGCACCATCCCTTCCCCTTGCCCATTCCCAGATGCTTCGGATCTGCACAAGGTACACCCCAGAGCAAGACACCATGACCTTCTCTGATGGGCTCACCCTGAACCGGACTCAGATGCACAACGCCGGCTTCGGTCCCCTGACAGACCTCGTCTTTGCCTTTGCTGGGCAGCTCCTGCCATTGGAGATGGATGACACGGAGACGGGGCTGCTCAGCGCTATCTGCCTCATCTGTGGAGGTGCAGAGGCGCCCCCTTGCGTTTGCTTGGGCTTCTTTCCCACCACACCCGACACCTGATCTCTGATCAGAGGGGAGATCCTGGTCCTTTTCTCTGGTATTCTTGCCTCTGGCCCCTCCGAAGACTTCTCAGATCCAGTACAGGCTCAGCAGCAGCCTGGAATATAGGGCAAAAAGAGGGGCAGAGCCAGGCATCGCTGAGGAGACCTTAGATACTGGTGCTGAGATAGGGGTCCATGATGGAGTGATTTACCAGAGAAAACCTCTTACTGAAGGGGAGTAGGTGTAGAGCTTGGAGCAGGGGAGATGGCCTTGGGAGGCTGAACAATAGATGAAGGGCTGATGGGACAAAGTTGGGGCCTGGAGGGCCATAGGGCAGGGCCAGTTAGGGACCAGCAGCTTGTCACCGTCTTCTCCATCTCTTCTTGTCTCACTTCGTGCTTGTGCCCATAGACCGCATGGACCTGGAGGAACCTGAAAAAGTAGACAAGCTGCAGGAGCCACTGCTGGAAGCCCTGAGGCTATATGCCCGGCGGCGGCGACCCAGCCAGCCCTACATGTTCCCAAGGATGCTCATGAAGATCACTGACCTCCGGGGAATCAGCACTAAGGGTTAGTCATGAGTGCACCTCTCCTCTCTCTTCCTGGGGCTGCTGGCCTCCCAGGTCAGGCAGGTGGATGGGCAAAGATAAGAACAGAGAGGGTTGAGAACTTTACTTTTCCTTTACTTTTAGTACTGTTTTCTTGTTTGTAAACTGGGCTGTACTTACACTTGCCTCATAACTTATCGTGAGGACTAAACAAACTCACACACAATGGGCTCAGGACGGTGCTGATCAAAAAACTCAGTTCCTTGGACACCCTAGCCATGTTTCAAGGGCTCAGAAGCCATGTGTGGCAAATGACTACTGTGTTGGACAGAGCAGATATTTCCATACATCAAAGAAAGTTCTGTTGGATGGAAAGAAAGGCCTTAGAAAGATGCCTGGAAGACAGTAAGTTTGATAAATATTATCAATTATTATAAATGTTATTAAGAACAGTACTGGGGCAATGGCAAGCTGTGGACTTTAGAGGCTGGGGTGCCTGGGGAGTGGGCTGGAGACTGAGCGTGGTGTGATCTGTGATCAAAGAATGGGGTGAGTGGGCAACAGACTGGACAGAGAAGACAGGTAGAGGCTCCTGGCAGAGGAGTGGCCCCCAGGAACCCTAGAGTAGGGAGAGGGTGAACTGGGATAGAGAGGTGGCAGGTCTGTGCTGGGAGCCCCCAGAGGGGAGTCCTAGGGCAGTTGAGAAAAGTTAGAGAGGTGGCCTTAAGGGGCATGTTCCTTTGCCTCTGAACCTCTTTGCCCCATTATTGCAGGAGCAGAAAGGGCCATTACCCTGAAGATGGAGATTCCAGGTCCGATGCCTCCCCTGATCCGAGAGATGCTGGAGAACCCTGAAATGTTTGAGGATGACTCCTCGCAGCCTGGTCCCCACCCTAAGGCCTCTAGCGAGGATGAGGTCTCTGGGGGCCGGGGCAAAGGGGGCCGTAGTCCCCCACCTGACCAGGGCCCCTGACTTCCTCTGCCATGGGGGTTGGGGCTCCAGGCAGCAGACCGACCATCTCCCAGACACTGCCAGTGACTGGGGGAGGACCTGCTCTGCCCTCTCCCCACCCCTTCTGATGAGCTCCTTGTTTTTGCCAAAGTTTCCAGGGGTGCCTCTGTGTTCATCCCCTTCTTGCTCTAACCAGCTCCCTCTCCAGTCTCGGGAGCCTACCCTGCCGCCACCAGGAGAGAGGGCAGAGGGATGATCCTGGGTTTAGACTCTAAAATCTCAGCACTGCCCCTCAGACACCAGGGTCCGGGCTTCTTAGTGCAGGAGGAAGACCCTGCCATTCCACAGCGCCTTCCTCTGCCAGATGCTTAGGCCTCTGGGAGCAAATAGGAACACTAGAGACCAAAAGAGGGGTGTAGGGGGTGGGGCTGAGCCCACCTTCTTGCCCTGCCCTTGGTCCCTCATGCTGCGTAATGCACCTGCTGGGTGCTGGCTGCCCTCTGTGCCCCATTCTCGTGCCAGGTCAGGGTGGGGCAGGCTGGGCCCTGCATTTTTGTGGGAGTAGAGGATGAAATGGAAGGATGCAGGTACTTTCTGCACCTCTTGGCTTGGGCCAAGGGTTTACCTTGTGCCCTCCGTGATGAGACCTGCCCCCAGCCTTGTCATGTGCCTTGGGCTCCTCCTGCCCCACATCTCAGCCACTGGGGCAGGGACCTTCCTACACTACAGAGGGGCCAGGGGATCCCTCTGCCCCTAGTGCCTTCCCTCCTTGATCCCCAGAGCAGCTTGGCCCAGGGAGAGGGAGGTGGGCGCTGCTTAGCCAATCCTACCCTGACCCAGAGGAAGCCTCTATTTATTTATTAGCTTTTGTTTACACCCTGGACTTGACCCCTTCCTCCAGGGGTCTTAAGAGGGGGAGCCCAGGGCCCCTGTGAACCCTCCCTTCTTCCTCCAATCCCCCGTTTGTATTTAGCTGCCAAATAAGATTCCCACTGGCTCCCCTTTTTCTCTGGGGGGGTCAGGGTGCTGTCCCCTCCCCTCTGTTTACAGCTCCCTTCCACCCCGCTGTATCGCATATTGCTGAGTTTTCTATTTTTGCAAAATAAAGTGATGGAAACTCACGGATGTGGCTCCCTCTAGGAGGTGGAAGGGGAAATGGCCAGCTGACCTAGAGATGGACTTGGTGAGGAGGTGAGCGACTAACCTCCTGGAGTTTGCAGCTGATTTAGGGGAACCGAGGCAGTAGGATGAAATGCATCTGGATGGGGGGGTGGGGGGTGGGGAGGGAGTCCACAGGGGCTCACCCTGAGTGTTGGCCTCCCATAGCCACTAAGTGTAGGGTCTTAGATTGGACCTTGTAGACCTCTGGGAAGGTGTGGATGGGCCTTTGGAGGTCTTTAAGCTGTCCCCAACGCCAGCGATGTTTATGTGCGTATCTACCTTTCTCTGGGGAGGGGTTCAGTGAAGTTTCATTTGGATCTCATGAGGGTCCCTAGCCCCAAGAGAAGAGAACCACAGCTTGCACTGGTTACAGTGTTTCTGTTTTATACCAAACCCTCCATGAATTCTCCCACCCTCTATGACCTCCATTCACCCTCCATTACCCCACTGTCTCCTTCAGTCCTAATGCTCTCATTGCCAGTACATGCCTTACCCTGCAACACCCCCAACCGCAGCCCCACTGCTTTTGGCGTCTACCACTGTGTCCGTGGACGGTCTTCCTCTGGCTCTGACTTTTCCTCACCCCGCGCCCGGGGCCCGCCTTCTTCCCTGGGATTGCACTGCCTACCTGTGCCTGGCTTTCTTCACCAATGACCTGAGTGTGGGAGAGAGGTTGAGGATGTGGGTGTAGGAGGGGAGAGAGGAGGGGAAAAGCAGAAGAAGAAAGTGAAAGAAGCTCCAGCGGAAACCATAGGGCTTGTAGGGAGGGAGGGGTTGTTGCCACGGTAACCCCTGGCTTTGGGGGAGGGGTAGGCTGAAGAAGTCCACCCAGAGAAGGAGCCCCTGCTCAGGCTACGCTGCTGCGCTGCTCTTCCATGCCAGAGTGCCCCGGTGAGACTGGCATTTTGCTAGGCGCTCTGGCTCCAGCCGGTCCTTGCCCACCAGCAGGGCCCCTTGTGGTAAAGGAGAGACCTATGGACACAGACCATGTCCAGTTCCTCTCAAAGCTTTCCGTGGTCAAGTGTGCGCAGGCCAGGGGAGAATATTTTCCACCAGCTCTTCTCCTTGCCGCCTTCTGTGCTCTGTGCCAGCTCCAGCTACCTTTTCTACATTCTGCCTCTTCCGGTTCACCTCCACCCCTTTCCCAGGCCCCACCACTATCTTGGCTCTTTGGCCCACTCTCGTTCTGAGCCTGGCCCTGTGGCTCTCTTTCCCACTTCAGCTGTCTTGACCTTGAATTTCTCAAAGCCTCTCCACCTCTCACCTCCATTGCTTCTCATGCACTGATTCTCTTATCAAGTCCATAGTTTGTTCTCTTCTAAGCAATTGATGTGACATCGCATTTAATTCTCACAGCAATCCTTTGAGTTCCACTCCACCCATGAGAAGGCAGCTTACCTGAGATCCTGCCACCAGTAAGTGATGGACCTGGGATTTGGGCTCCAGAAGTTTGGCTCCAGAGCCCACGAAATTAAGCATTTACTGTGATACAGTGCACATTGGCTTTTCAAAATGAACGTCACTCACTAATTTCCCCCTCTACAGTACTTAAATGACTTCCATATTCTTCCTTCCTATTATGTTCCTATGTGAGGAAGTGGTAAGATCATCAATACTGGAGGCAGGCAGATCTAGATTTACATCCCAGACAAGCTAGTTGCTACTTGTGTGACCTTGGGCAAAGTTCTTTAATTCTTACCTCTAAGTCTCTACATCTGTAAAAGTAGGGGTCTGGGGGCATGTCCTGAAGCTGTTGTGAGGATTAATTACCACATCATGATCCACCCAGCACATGCTCGGTGCTCAACAGGTGACCTCTGCTTCTTTCTTCCAGATCCCTCTATCATCAACCCCCTTGGCCCAGTTCCACCCCTATCTGCTCCACCTTCTCCTAGATCGGTCACCCCCACTACCCCCAAAACCTTCCCCCACCCTGGGGCGTGTCACTTCCTCCTCCGCAGCCTCCCAGATCAGTACACAAAGGCTGCCGCTGCCTCCGGAGGAAGGGCTGCTTTGCACGCACCTGTGAGTATCAGGGCACCAGCCCTCCTGCCTCCTCTCATTACCAGCCCAGGCTCCACCTGGTCCCAACCTCCTGGGAAGAGGGCCCCAACCTGAAGACACCCAGGGTTCAGCTGAGACTTGAGAGAGGCTCTGAACTCCTTTCTGCATGCCTAAGATCCCCTATCCCTTTTCCCTCCGCCAGCTTCACAAGCCCTCCTCCCACCACCTCTCTTTTGGATCAGTTTCCCAAGAGTGGGGCTGGAGAGAGGGAAAGGAGGTGGGGGGTATGAGTGCCATCATTTGAGTGCCTGCCATGTGCCAAGGATTGTGTCAAGGTAGGGTTCTCCCAATATTACTCCCAGTTGCCATCCCTGCTGCCTAGTGGCTAGAGCTCTGCTCAGGCCTTCTCCCATTGAGCACCTTGGCCACAGATCCCACACTCCTGCAAGACTGTGGCCCAGTGGCTCAGTTCTGTCCCCTCGTGACTCAGAGGGCAGCAAGAGTTCTGCTTGATTTGGGAAATCTGAACGGGTTGGGTCTGCAGCTTTGTTTCTTAGGGGCTGAGGGGGCAATAGGGTGTGTATTACAGTTAGAATTGAGTCCAGGAAGGTGGACAACCATGGAGGGAGAGAAGGGAAGACTGAAGACCCCCAAGGAAAGAGAACAGGGATGAGGTAGAGACCACTTGTGCTAGTGGGAAGATGGCACACTGTCTATGATGATGGTGCTTGGGTTTCAGGGAAGGAAAGCAGCAAACAAGCCAAGAGGCTGGCCTGTCTCAATCCCTGTTCTGCCTCTTGTTCTCTATGTGACTTCGGGCAAGTCACTTACTCCTCTGGGATTCAGGTTTCCTTTTGTAAAAAGAGGGGGTTGAAGTAGAAAAGCCTGCCATTCTATGGTTAGGATCAGAGGGTAAAAGGAAGTAAAAGAACTATGAAGAAGTGGAGAAGAGGGAAGCAGTAAGGAGATGTAATCAGATTTTTGAATAGGAAGGGGAGAGAGAGAGAGAGATTAAGAGAAGCAGGTGGCAGGTCATGTATCCCCAAGGAGGTGAGAAGGCAGGAGAATTGGAAAAAGGAAGGGCTGTCCAGGGAGTCCCAAGGTCCCCATAGAGGAAATGAGTGAGGCTTGAGATCTCTGGGTTTGTTCTATCCTGGAACCAGTGTGGCCTGGGGCCGCACTTGCAAGAGATGAGTCAAAACTGGGCTTCATGCTGCTTCAGCTCCAGCCACCCTGACCACAGATGTGCAGAGCACACAGGGCTGAGGTTACACTGAGGCTGAGGCCAGGGCCATCCTCTTACAGGAAGGTGGAGGCTCTGTGACCCATATACATGTACACCTGAGGTCACAGGTGGTGGGGAGCAGGATGGGGGCGGTCAACAACTTGGCACCCCACCCTTTCCCCACACTCCTTTGCACAGCTCGTGGATCTGAGTCTAGCCCAGACTGAGCAGTATGCAGATGCTTCATGACAAGGATTTGGCTGGCCTTACTTACACACCACTGATGGGGATAGAAGCTGGCACAATCCCTAAGGAGGTTATGCCATTAACAGTCACCAATATTACAAATGGTACCTATTTATTGACCCTACAAATCCTCTTCCAGGGATTTACCCTACAGATGTGCTTGCACACATGTGAAATGATAAATACATGAATTTTCATTGCAGCATTATTTATAATAGTGAACAATTGGAAGCCATTTAAATTCCCACTGTAAGAGACTAACTACAATATGATACATGCATGCACTGGAAATCTATATGGCTGTGAAAGTGCACAAGCTCTTTTCCTGGGCAGCAGGATATCCATGAAAAGTAGTTAAAAGGAAAAAAATTAAGGCACAAAACTGCCTATATTCTAGAATTGTGATGGTAGATTTTATTCTACTATTTGAAGTGTGAATATATTCATATTAGTTTGTGTATACACAAAACAATCTCTAGAAAGATTATAAGCAACAAGATAACAACAAATGGTGGTTTATTCATTTGAAGTAGGTGTGTAAACCCGGGGTTGGGGAGTAGGAGTGGGGGATTATTCAGGTCTTATTTTAACTTTTTAATATTTTTGTATTGTGGTAAAATGCACGTAAAATGTATCATTTTAGCCATTTTAAGAACACAATTCAATAGCATTAAGTACATTCAGAGTGTTGTGCAGCCATAACCATTATCTAGTTCTCTAACTTTTTCTTTACCCCCAGGGAAACTGCCTGTCCAGCAGTCATTTCTCTTCTCCAACCCCTGGCAACCACTGATCTGCTTTTTGTCTTTGGATCTGTCCAGCCTGGCTATTTCACATAAATGGAATCATACAACATGTGGCCTTTTGTGACTAGTTTTATTCACTTAGCATGATGTTTTCCAGGTTTGTCGATGTGATTGTGTGTCAGTACTTCATTCCTTTTTATGTCCAGACTGTATTTCATTGTGTGGGTATACCACATTTTGCGTGCCCATTCATTGATCGGTGGACATTTGAATTGTTTCTACCTTTTAGTTACTGTGAATAGTACTGCTATGAACATCTATATACAGTTTTGGCTTGAACACCTCTTTTCAATTCTTTTAGGGATATACCTAGAAGTAAAGCTGCCAAGTCATAGAGGAATTCTAACTCATTGAGGAATCACCGAACTGTTTTCCACAGTGGTCGTATCATTGTCACATTCCTACTAGCAGTGTATGAGGGTTCCATTTTCTCCATACCCACATCAGCACTTATTTTCCTTTTCTTCCTTTTTTATTTTTTATTATAGACATTCTCATGGTGTAAAGCGGTATCTCATTGTGGTATTTGATTTGCATTTCCCTGATGACTAGTGGTATTGAATATCTTTTTATGTGCTTGTTGGCTATTTGTCTAACTTCTTCAAAGAAATGTCTATTTAAATCCTTGCCCATTTAAATATTGGGTTGTCTTTCTGTCATTGATTTAAGAGATCTTTATATATTCTGAATGCTTACCAGATATATGATTTGCAAATATTTTCTCCTGTGGTCTGTCTTTTCACTCTATTGATAGTGTCCTTTGATGTACAAAGTTTTAAATTTTTATTAAGCACAATTCACTATTTTTTCTATTGTTGCTTGTACTTCTTGATGCCATACCTAAGAATCCATTGTCAAGTCCAAGATCATGAGGATTTACTGCTATATCTTTTCTAAGAGTATATAGTTCAAGCACTTATATTTAGGTCTTTTATCTATTTTCATTTAATTTTTGTATATTTCGTGAGGAAGCAGTCTAACTTCCTTTCTTTACATGTGGATATCCAGTCATCCCAGCACCATTTGTTGAAGACTAGTCTCTCCTATTGAATGGTTTGGCACCCTTGTCAAAAATCCAAACCAAAAGAGATGGATTTACTTCTGGACTTTCAGTTCTAGTCCATACATCTATATGCCTATCCTTATGCCAATACCACACTGCCTTCATTCTGGAAGCTTTGTAGTAAGTTTTGAAAATGAGAAGCATGAGTTCTCCAACTTCATTCTTTTTCAAGATTGTTCTGTTTGTTCAGGGTCCCATGCAATTTCATATGAATTTTAGGATCAGCTTTTCCATTTCTGCAAAAAAGGCCATTGGGATTTAATGTTCTGATTTTTGAAAAAAATCCATTGTAATGGATTAACTATTCTAATGTTTAATTAAGAAGTTTTAAAAAATAAGAAATTTGCAGGCCTCCCTAGAAGTTATTCCAGGAACTACCTTGCCTTCAGGCTCTTTCTCCAATGTATATCCCTTTGTACAAAGTACAGGAAAGAGAAAATTTTGCCAAGCCTGGCCTTCTGTTCTCTGTTATCCCAGACCTTTAGAAAGCTCTTCTTACGGTCTAATCTTTATTCTTCCTGCTATCATGTCAGTCAAGTATAGCTACCCTTCCCTCTTTCATATACTCCTAATCAGCTCCTGCACAAAACTGCCTATATTCTAGAATTGTGATGGTAGATTTTATTCTACTATTTGAAGTGTGAATATATTCATATTAGTTTGTGTATACACAAAACAATCTCTAGAAAGATTATAAGCAACAAGATAACAACAAATGGTGGTTTATTCATTTGAAGTAGGTGTGTAAACCCGGGGTTGGGGAGTAGGAGTGGGGGATTATTCAGGTCTTATTTTAACTTTTTAATATTTTTGTATTGTGGTAAAATGCACGTAAAATGTATCATTTTAGCCATTTTAAGAACACAATTCAATAGCATTAAGTACATTCAGAGTGTTGTGCAGCCATAACCATTATCTAGTTCTCTAACTTTTTCTTTACCCCCAGGGAAACTGCCTGTCCAGCAGTCATTTCTCTTCTCCAACCCCTGGCAACCACTGATCTGCTTTTTGTCTTTGGATCTGTCCAGCCTGGCTATTTCACATAAATGGAATCATACAACATGTGGCCTTTTGTGACTAGTTTTATTCACTTAGCATGATGTTTTCCAGGTTTGTCGATGTGATTGTGTGTCAGTACTTCATTCCTTTTTATGTCCAGACTGTATTTCATTGTGTGGGTATACCACATTTTGCGTGCCCATTCATTGATCGGTGGACATTTGAATTGTTTCTACCTTTTAGTTACTGTGAATAGTACTGCTATGAACATCTATATACAGTTTTGGCTTGAACACCTCTTTTCAATTCTTTTAGGGATATACCTAGAAGTAAAGCTGCCAAGTCATAGAGGAATTCTAACTCATTGAGGAATCACCGAACTGTTTTCCACAGTGGTCGTATCATTGTCACATTCCTACTAGCAGTGTATGAGGGTTCCATTTTCTCCATACCCACATCAGCACTTATTTTCCTTTTCTTCCTTTTTTATTTTTTATTATAGACATTCTCATGGTGTAAAGCGGTATCTCATTGTGGTATTTGATTTGCATTTCCCTGATGACTAGTGGTATTGAATATCTTTTTATGTGCTTGTTGGCTATTTGTCTAACTTCTTCAAAGAAATGTCTATTTAAATCCTTGCCCATTTAAATATTGGGTTGTCTTTCTGTCATTGATTTAAGAGATCTTTATATATTCTGAATGCTTACCAGATATATGATTTGCAAATATTTTCTCCTGTGGTCTGTCTTTTCACTCTATTGATAGTGTCCTTTGATGTACAAAGTTTTAAATTTTTATTAAGCACAATTCACTATTTTTTCTATTGTTGCTTGTACTTCTTGATGCCATACCTAAGAATCCATTGTCAAGTCCAAGATCATGAGGATTTACTGCTATATCTTTTCTAAGAGTATATAGTTCAAGCACTTATATTTAGGTCTTTTATCTATTTTCATTTAATTTTTGTATATTTCGTGAGGAAGCAGTCTAACTTCCTTTCTTTACATGTGGATATCCAGTCATCCCAGCACCATTTGTTGAAGACTAGTCTCTCCTATTGAATGGTTTGGCACCCTTGTCAAAAATCCAAACCAAAAGAGATGGATTTACTTCTGGACTTTCAGTTCTAGTCCATACATCTATATGCCTATCCTTATGCCAATACCACACTGCCTTCATTCTGGAAGCTTTGTAGTAAGTTTTGAAAATGAGAAGCATGAGTTCTCCAACTTCATTCTTTTTCAAGATTGTTCTGTTTGTTCAGGGTCCCATGCAATTTCATATGAATTTTAGGATCAGCTTTTCCATTTCTGCAAAAAAGGCCATTGGGATTTAATGTTCTGATTTTTGAAAAAAATCCATTGTAATGGATTAACTATTCTAATGTTTAATTAAGAAGTTTTAAAAAATAAGAAATTTGCAGGCCTCCCTAGAAGTTATTCCAGGAACTACCTTGCCTTCAGGCTCTTTCTCCAATGTATATCCCTTTGTACAAAGTACAGGAAAGAGAAAATTTTGCCAAGCCTGGCCTTCTGTTCTCTGTTATCCCAGACCTTTAGAAAGCTCTTCTTACGGTCTAATCTTTATTCTTCCTGCTATCATGTCAGTCAAGTATAGCTACCCTTCCCTCTTTCATATACTCCTAATCAGCTCCAACCGTCTTTCCTGACCCCTTGAGTTTCTTCCCTTATTTAGAATCTAAGATTAAGAAAGCTGCAAGAACTGTCAGATTATTTATTCAATTTCCTGACTTTAAAGATGTGGAAACTAAGGCCCAGAGAGAAAGTCTGACTTGCCACACAGCTAGTGAGTGAAGCAGGACCAGAACCTGGTCTGTTTCCTGTATGGCTCTATTTCCACTGTGGCTTGGAATCTTGGTGAGTAGAACCCAGTGTAGACCTTAGTGCCTCCGGATTCCTGCTTAGGCCATTTTGCCCACCCTGGCCTCTTGAAGTCTGCACACAGGAGGGATGGGTCTTCTCCTAGGCCTCTACCCTGGCCTGGTACCTGCCCCTTCCCACCATTTTGAAGGAACTACTGAATCCACAGGGGAAATGAAACTATGAAGGGAGGTAAAGAGTTGGGATAGAATTTTGAGAATAACAACCACAGGATAAGCTGAGAGGACTGAGTTTGGTGGCCCTCCCTAAGGACCTACGCATCCCCCCTTTTTTCCTATTACAGGCCATGGTGGCTTTGTCAGTGGGGCTTCTTTTCCTACTGGCCCTGAGCAGAAGTGAGAGTGAGTTGGACGCCAAGATCTCATCCCTAGGGGAGGTTGCAGAATGGGTGGATCCTGATGTATCCCTGCCCGGGTCCTGCCAACCAGCCCCCTCCTGCCAGAAGTGCATCCTCTCACACCCAAGTTGTGCATGGTGCAAGCAACTGGTAAAAATAGGCCAGTGGCCTTTGACCCATGTGTACGTGTATGTGAAGCTTGGATATATGTGTGTGACTATTTGGGCACATGTGTGATTTTCTGGGTGCACTCCATAGTCCTGTGTGTGACTAAGTTTGTGTACATAGGACTCCTGCTTGTGGTTGCTTATATGTGTGTATTTATATGTTTATGTCTGTATCTGTGTATTTGTGTATGTATGGAGAAGACTTGTGACCATAAATTTGGAGGAAGTATTTTCTTGCTGAAACTCATGCTTGTGTGTAGGTAGAGGGACTTGTTGCGTGTACACGTGTGAGAAAGTATATTTGTCAGCTTGGGTTGCCACAACAATACATATAGACTTGGTGGCTTAAGCAACAGGAATTCATTTCTCACAGTTCTGGAGGCTGGGAGTTCAAGATCAAGGGGCCAGGTGATTGGGTCTCTGGTGAGAGCTCTCTTCCTGACTTGCAGAAGGGCTGCAGACAAGCTCTCCAGTGTCTCTTCTTACAAGGGCACTAACCCATCTCTGAGGGTTCAACCCTCCTGACCTCATCTACCAACCTGAAATTCTTCCCAAAGGCTCCATCTCCAAATGCCACCACGCTGGGGGTTAGTCCCTAGCAGAAAGTATGTGACTGGTTAACTCCAAGGTATGTAGCAGCCTGTGACTGGGAGGCTGAAAGGGAAGGGTTTGGTAGCCTGTGGGCTTTAGGGGATAAACTTGAGCAGGATGTCTGAGCCTCTCCCAGGCTGCCCAAACAAGGCTGTTCTTTGTTTATGCCTTGAAGAGACAGGGCTCAGAGGATGGCAGAGCCTGGGGGGGTGCCTGAGCTAGGGGTGGGGGCAGAACTGCCTCTCTCACAGAAAGATGGAGAGTTAGGTGAGTCTAGAGATAGGCCAAACTCAGGAGGAGGCAGAGCAACAGAGGCTGAGCGGCTAGGAGAAAGGCACACAGTGAATCTGGGAGGGCAGGAAGGGGAGTCTCAGAGTCAGCAGAGAGTAAAGGTGACAAGCTGGGGCTGCTGGGACAGGGTATGTGTCTGCCTCCTCCAACCTCCAGACTAGAGACTGGCACCTTGGCCAGTTGAGAAGCCACTCTAACCATTTCCTTCCCCTGCTGTTTCCCAGCCAGTCCTGGGGCACCAGACACGTTGTGGGGGAGGGGATCTCCCCTCTGGTCCCTCTCCTTCCCCTTTTCAAGAACTTAGCCTGGGTCTTAGCGGGATGTCTTTCCCATTTTGGCTTGAGCACACAGGGGAGGTTGGACCAGGAAGCCAAATGAGGCATTTTGTTTGGTAGTGAGGTCCCTGAGATCTCAATAAGAAGTCTGTGGCCCTAGGGGCAGGGGCAGGGTGGGTGACTGGGGACAGGGGGAGTCCAGATAAGGGGAGGAGGGAGTGCTAGCGGAAGTGGGAGTGCTAGCGGAAGTGGGCTCCGACAAGTTAGAAAGGACACCTTCGAGAGTGCTGTTGAGGGAGCGGAGGCTAGGCGAGGGAATCAGAGGGACTCAGGTAGAAGTGGTCAGGATTGAAGAGGTCTTGAAGCAGGGCTGGAGGTCTTGGGGGGCAGGGGTCTAAGGTTCCAATGCGCCTCCCCTTTTGTCTCAGAACTTCACCGCGTCTGGGAAGGCGGAGGCGCAGCGCTGCGCCCGGCGAGAGGAGCTGCTGGCTCGGGGCTGCCCTCCAGGAGAGCTGGAGGAGCCCCGCGGCCGGCTGGAGGTGCTGCAGGACAAGCTCCTCAGCCAGGGCGCCCACGGCGAGGCAGCCACCCAGCTGGCACCGCAGCGTGTCCGGCTCACACTGCGGCCGGGTGAGTTAGGGGGCAGCAGGCCGCGAGAGATCTAGGCTGGGATTCGGACACACGCCGCTGACGCCCTCCCGCCGCCCCCCATCACCAGGGGAGCCCCAGCAGCTCCTGGTCCGGTTTCTCCGTGCCGAGGGATACCCTGTGGACCTGTACTACCTTATGGATCTGAGCTACTCTATGAAGGATGACCTGGAGCACGTGCGCCAGCTCGGGCAGGCCCTGCTGGTGCGGCTGCAGGAGGTCACCCATTTCGTGCGTATCGGTGAGCACTGCCTGCATCCTGCCAGCCCTCTGCCTCTAATTTCAGCCTCTGCTGTAGCCTGTGCCAACGTCCTGGACACTCAAGGGCTCCGCCTACCCCTCCCAGTCTTTAACAGACCTGACCAGGCAGCAAGTTCTTGACCTCCCTTCCCAAAGACAATGCATCTTCTAGGTCAGAGCTGGAGAGGACTTTAGACTGTCCAGTAACACCACTCATCTTACAGTAGGGGGAACTGAGGCCCAGAGTCCAGAGAGACTGTTCAGACATCTCACAGGGTCAGACAGTGCCCTGGACTTACCAATTCTGATACTGCTCTGATGCCTCTGTCTCAACCCTGTGTGTCCCCTAGCTGTGCATTCTGGGCTCATCTCATCCCTGGTCAATATACACTCCTTTACTGTATACCTTACACCTTCACCTTCTGCCTCAGCCTTCAGGAAACCCCTGCCTGACTCCCATCGTGTCCTCTTCATTCCTCCATCCCCTCCACCCCTCAGCTGGGGGTCTCACCCATTTATTGGCCCCTGCCAGGTACTGGGTCTCTGCCCTCCAGGAGCACCCAATCCCATGACCTCTTCTATGAACTATTACCATACCCCTCCTCCCCCACTTCTCCTCCCTTCTGAGTCCTTAGCAATAGCTGCTCCCTCCATGCTGCTGCCCAGAGACTTCTGGCACAGCTTTCATGCCTCCACCAATCCCAGGCTTTGGCTCCTTTGTTGACAAAACGGTGCTGCCCTTCGTGAGCACAGTGCCTGCCAAGCTTCGCCACCCCTGCCCCACCCGGCTGGAGCGCTGCCAGCCACCCTTCAGCTTTCACCATGTGCTGTCCCTGACCGAGGATGCTAAGGCCTTTGAACAGGAGGTGGGGCGCCAGAATGTGTCAGGCAACCTGGATTCGCCCGAAGGTGGCTTTGATGCCATTCTGCAGGCTGCACTCTGTCAGGTGAGGAGGCCGGGGAGGGGTTCTGAGTCTGAAGACCAAATCCTTGGCTCTTAATGCTGGCTGGGGTGGCTCAAGGGCCATGCCCAGTTGAACAGCCTACCCCAACCCCACCCCAGGAGAAGATTGGCTGGAGAAATGTGTCCAGGTTGCTGGTGTTCACTTCAGATGACACATTCCACACAGCTGGGGATGGGAAGTTGGGTGGCATTTTCATGCCCAGCGATGGGCACTGCCACTTGGACGAAAATGGCATCTACAGTCGCAGCCCAGAGTTTGTGAGTTCCACCTGCACCCCGCCCCTCCCAGCTGAACCACACTTCCCTTACTCCCATGATCATTCCTTCCAGCCTGATTATTCTTGCCAGTGACCTCCCTGTTGCCTTCTCCAGAAGTTCTTCCTGTCTATGTGCTCAGACAGAAAGCTGTGTCACCCTGTTCCCTAGCCCCTCCCTCCTCCTTGCCAAGACTCTAAAGCTCCTCCAGCTGATGGAACCCTGGTTCCTGGATTTCCTGGGCTTGAGGGCACTTGGCCTATTGTGGGGGGACCTGTGATGCTCACCTTGTCCCCATTCCCCGCCCCAGGACTACCCCTCTGTGGGCCAGGTAGCTCAGGCCCTCTCTGCTGCAAACATCCAGCCCATCTTTGCTGTCACCAGGGCCACACTGCCTGTATACCAGGTGAGAGCTGTTTGACTGTGAGATCCTCCCACCCCGAGCCTTTATCAGTTCCCTCAAAGACCCATTCTCCTCCCACAATGTGCCCTCCTTCCAGACCCCTGGAAGCCCATTTCCCTAGAGTTTTGACCCACCGTTTTCCTCAACTCCTCTTAACTCAGGAGCTGAGTAAGCTGATTCCTAAGTCTGTAGTGGGGGAGCTGAGTGAGAACTCCAGCAATGTGGTTCAGCTCATCATGGATGCATATGACGTAAGGGGCCAGGTGGGGGGAATGGCGGGATGGGCAGTGGCAGAGACAGGAAGGGTTCCTCAGGTGGGGTGGCAGGGCTAAGAGGGAATGATCAGTTTTTGGAATAACACTCTACAGCTCCTCCCTACAGTCTGCGCATACTGTCATTAACAGTTCATTCATTCACTCAGTTTTATATTCATAAATCTTAAGTGTCTGATTTGTGCAGAGCATGAAGCCCTGCTCTTGGCAAGGAAGGAAAATAATGTTCACTGAGCTTTTATTTCATGCCAAACTCTGTCCTAAGTGCACATACTGTTTGCTGTCTCACTTAACCCCACTAAAACTCCTGTTTGCTGACTACTCTGATCCCTATTTTATAGATGGGGATACAGACACAAGGAGGCTAAGGGACTTGCCTAAGGTCACACTGATAACAGACAGAAGGGCTGGCATTTGTTCCACTGTTAGTCTATACATACAGAATATGACATCTGGAGCCTGCTTTCACTAAGCTTATAAATAATTCAGATACTCTTCACAGGAACTGTAGGATTTTATGGATAGAAGGAATCATAAAAGTTCTTAAGTATTTCTTGGGTTTAGGTCTTATTTCTGTAACTAGATGGTAGGCTTCTTGATGACAGGGACCGTGTCCTAAACCCATGGCAAGACAATTTGAGAGTATCAAATTTCCCAGGACAAACTCAATTTAAAGAATCTGCCCTTTAGACATATGCACACAGGTTATATGTCCTGATTTGGGGTTTGAAAAACAGCTACTGCGTGTTTATGGCAACTGGTGTGCCCCGGCCTGCAGCAGGCCCTCCCTGTGGCTGCATTGAGATGCTGTGGTAGAGGCCTCTGGGTCCCTTATGCTCACAGGGGCTTCTTCCAGAAATGTCACCTGGGTACAATAGAAGGAGCCCCAAGGTGGGCTGAGGGCAGGGGTCTGGCAGAATTTGGAATGGTTGGAGAAAGGGCATGAGGTGGGGTTGAAGTCCTGCCTTCCCATGGTCACTATCTCTTCCCACAGAACCTGTCATCCACTGTCACTCTGGAACACTCTCCACTCCCTCCTGGGATCCACATCTCCTACGAATCTCAGTGTGGGGATTCTGGGAAGAGGGAGGGTGAGGCTGCGGATCGGGGCCAGTGCAACCATGTCCGAATCAACCAGATGGTGAGAGCCAGCCAAGAGAGGCCAAAGGAAGGAAGTAGGGGGTGGGAGGGAGAAACTGAAGGAGGCAGGAAAAGATGGGGTGGGAGTGGGGCTAGGCATGGAGGACAATGTGAAAGCATGGGTAGTCCCCCATCCAGCCTTTCTGTAGGGGTTTAATGAGCAGCTGCCTTGGGTGTTTCTAGGAGATGGGAGTTATCATGACCCTGTCCCTGAATTTGCTGAGGAACAGAGTTCTGGATACTAGTGGGTTTGGGGTGTGCATGTGTTTGTATGATCCTTAGTCTGATTTCGGCCTATCCTCAGGTGAATTTTTCAGTTACTCTTCAAGCTACCAAGTGCCTCTCAGAGCCCCACATTCTGAAGTTCCGAGCTCTTGGCTTCTCAGAGGAGCTGACTGTGGAGCTGCACATGCTGTGTGACTGTAACTGCAGTGACACCCAGCCCTGGGCTCCCCACTGCAGTGACGGCCAGGGGCACCTACAATGCGGGGTGTGCAGGTGAGGGCCTCCTGTTTGCTTTCTGCCATGTGGCTCCCCACTGATGACCAGTCCCTATATTCCTCCTCTGCCTTCCATCATCCCACTGCCATTTCCAGGGTCTTCTTCCTAGACAACCCAAGACTCCACCCTGATTTTCATCTCCTGAAGCTTCCAGATCTGCCAAGGCCCTCCCCTCCACCAGTATGCCTTCCACTCTTCTTCTACTCCTTGGTTCTCCACTAAACTCCAGTGCCCCATTTGGTAGCCACTCGTCTCTCTCTGACTTTAGAGATCTTGGGTTCAGAGGATCCTGGGACAGAAAGGTCAAGGGATGGTCAAACTCTCAGACCCACTCTTCCCTCCCAGCTGTGCCCCTGGCCGCCTGGGTCGACTCTGTGAGTGCTCTGAGGCTGAGCTGTCCTCTCCGGATCTGGAATCGGGCTGCCGGGGCCCCAATGGGACAGGGCCTCTGTGCAGCGGGAAGGGATGGTGCCAGTGTGGACGCTGCAGCTGCAGTGGACAGAGCTCTGGGCGTCTGTGCGAGTGCGATGATGCCAGCTGTGAGCGACACAAGGGCATCCTCTGTGGAGGTACCTAGAGACTTTGGGGAGATGAGTGGGGTCAGAGTGGCTCTCCCAAAGACACTTAAGCACTGAGTACTTCATGGCACTAAGAGCAAGTACCAAATATTCTGTTGTAAGGGTTGGAGGATGTGTCTGGACACATGAGAGGAAATCAGAGCACAGGAACAAGCCAGCTCTAGGGAGCCTGCGGTGGCATGTGATGTCCACTGTGTGTGGGGAGTTTGGTTGCCACCCTGTGCATGGCTCTGTCCCAGGTTTTGGCCGTTGCCAGTGTGGAGTGTGTCACTGTCACGCCAACCGCACAGGCAGAGCATGTGAGTGCAGTGAGGACACGGACAGCTGTGTCAGCCCCGAAGGAGGGCTCTGCAGTGGGCATGGAAACTGCAGGTGCAACCGCTGCCAGTGCTTTGATGGCTACTACGGTGTGCTATGCGATCAATGCCCAGACTGCAAGACATCATGTGAGGCGCACAGGTAAGGCCTTGTCTCCGTCTTGGGAGTTGGGCACAGCGGGGCTGAGCCACTACCACCTGTCTGCTCTTTCCTGCAAGCGGCATGGGTGACAACTGCCCAGCTGGTAACCCCTTGGCATCCACTGGACAGGGACTGTGCCGAATGTGGGGCCTTTGGGACCGGTCCCCTGGCCACCAACTGCAGCATGGCTTGTGCCCACGCCAACGTGACCCTCACTTTGGCCCCTATCCTGGACGATGGCTGGTGCAAAGCGAGAACCCTGGACAACCAGCTGTTCTTCTTCCTGGTGGAGGATGAAGCTGGAGGCAGTGTCCTGCTGAGAGTGAGACCCCCAGAGAGTAAGTGGGCAGGGATGTTGTGGACATGCCAAGTGGAGCCCTGGGAAGTCCAACGGGTTGGGCCTCAGAACCCTGGGGTTAGGGAGGAAAAGGTAACGGGAAACCAGGCTAGGGTTGAAGCAGAATAGTGAATCCACCACAAAAGTAGAGGTGATGGACCAAGTGGATAAGGCTAAGGCACTCAGGATAAACGTGGACTCTGCTGGGTTCCTTTTGTCTTTAATGACAGGCAGGGCTGGGGTGCTGGATGGGGCTGGGCACGTTGTGGGCAATTCTATCAATCCCTATGTCCCAGCCCCCAGAAGTCTGTGTTGTTTCTTCCCCACAGAGAGAAGAGACCACACCCAGGCGATTGTACTAGGCTGCGTGGGGGGCATTGTGGCAGTAGGACTGGGGCTGGTCCTGGCTTATAGGCTCACCGTGGAAATCTATGACCGCCGAGAATACTGGCGCTTTGAGAAGGAGCAGCAGCAGCTCAACTGGAAGCAGGTGAGGAGACTGCGTGTCCCCCCCCTCCTCCCCCCAGCTGGGTTTCATCTGCATTTCCTGGTTGGGGCCTCTGCTCTGGCTTCCCCACCGCACCCTCAGCCCCGACACTTCCCACCCAGACCCTGCTCACCTCACCTTGCTCTGTGCCTCCTCTGCCCCACCCTTCTGCTAATGTCCATCAGCCCCCAGGGTCCTGCTCAAGTTCTAGGTCAGCCTCTTAGCATTAGATAAAGAAGAGGAATGAGGCCAGGGACTTTTCCTCATCTTTTCCACCACTCTCTTTCCCCAGGACAGCAATCCTCTCTACAAAAGTGCCATCACAACCACCGTCAACCCCCGCTTTCAAGAGGCAGACAGTCCCCTTCTCTAAAGGAGGGGGACATTCATCCCAGGGGGCTCTTCTCTGGGAGGATGGTGGGAATTTGGGGGTGGGGTGGGGCCTATTGGGCAGCAGCCTGGTAAGGTACTAATCCACTGCTTATGTCACCACCTACTTGATTCTCAGAGTGACACCCAAGAGGGTCGCCTACTGCTACAATCTTGCATCCCCTACCTCAAGAGTGGGGGTTACCCACCCTCATATACAATAAAGGAGCATGGCTCACCTCGGAGCATGGCTGTCCTATTGCTTTTCTCCATGGCCAAAGCAGGCTGTTGGAGCCTGGGCTCAGGCAAGTTCACGTTTATTCCTTCTCATGCTACCCAAGGGCAGGGAGAGGTTCTCAAGGGAGAGTGTGCAGGAGAGCTGGTACACAGCTGCCTGGGAAGCAGCTGGGCTGCGTGGGCTAGTGAGTTCTCAGGTAATGCTGATGAAGAACTAGAGACTGCACTTTGAGGAACCCTGCATTTGCTGGTCTCTAACCTCATTCTGTCCTGCTGTGCATGTTTTTTTTTCTTTTATTCAGAAATGGTACTGTTTTTACTTCTACTTTTTGCTCCTCTGCCAAGAGAGGGAATTTCAAAATGGTTGTTTATAATGTGCTGGAAGTTGTGGGGTGGTTATATTTGGGGGGAAATAGAAAAACACTTTGGCCCCAGTGAAAAAGCTTCCCCAAAGGATTTTCTTCCCAAAGAGGAAATGGTGTGTAGAAAAGCCCCATTTTCTTTTTATTTAAATATCCTAAATATATCACAAAGGAACATACACTGCACTTTAATGTTAAAAAGATACAAGTTTATAACATCTTATAAAAACTACCATTTAAAAGTGATCTTGCTCATTTTACAGTCCCCTCTCCCAATAGCAAAATAAGTATATTAAAAAAAAAAAAAGAGGTGGAGAGGGTCAGAAGAATTAAGATAAAAGTCCCAGAGCCAGAGCAGAGGCGAAGAGCATCTGGGAAAAGGGTTAAGTTGTGGTGGGGCTCCACGCCTCATTTAACCCTCCAAGGTCAAGTCATGGGGCACAATCAGCAGCTAAGGGATGATAAGAGGTGGTTGGGGCATGGACGGAAAAGTCTTGGGGTGCTGGGAAGGGCAGGACTGGTAGGGCCTGGTAGAGCAGCCCACCCAGGAACTGGTGCTCCTCTTCCCAGGTCCCCGAATTCCACGTCCAGGTCTCTTGAGAGCCTGCCCCATCTCCCTTTCCCCTTACTCCAAACACACCTGAGGCATCATTCCAGTGCTAGACCCCACCCCAGTGAAGGAGTGGGGCATTGGGCCCAGGAGCCTCTGCAGCGGTCTTAGTCTGGTTTCCCTGGGGTCTAAGTGGGGCTCCTGGGCCCTCTGGGGGCAAAATCACTCCTTTCACCTCTTTGCTCCTCTTTCCTCACACATCCGTGGCCCCACAACATCAGCACCTGGATAACTGAACTAACCACCTGATTCTGTATTCCCCCCATCTACACCCAGTTCGTGGCAGGGCTGGTTCTGGTATGGCTCTTTGCACGTCTGTTCCAAAGTTCCCTCTCTCCCGCCCACTCCCCCAGGAAGGAAGCTGAGGCCTGTGGGGTGCCAGGGCAGATGCTGACCTAAACACACGTTCGTACACCTATGGGTGTGATCACTCATGTGATTCTCTCTACACATATTCCCAACCCACCCAACACCACACAGATTAGCTGCAAGTGGCAGAGAGCAAGGCCTCCAATTTCCAAAGTGCTCTTTGGAGGGCAGAGTTTTCTAAATGTATCCTCCTTCCCAGAATATATCCCCAGAGGTGAGTGACAAAGTTCAGACCCAGCAGAACCCTCTAATAGGAAGGGGGCTGCCTCACATACACAGAGATGCTCTGCTTGCAGGGAACAAGAGGGCAGAGACAGGGACTGAGACCTAGGTTCTGGACCACAGCAAACGGGAGTGCCAGCATAAAGCTAGATGAGCACAGGGGGCACATATTCCCCCATGCATCCCTGAAAGGATCTCAGATGCCATCAAGGGAAATCTAAAGGGTGTTATGCCCTTCTTTTTCCCTGACAACCCCTCCTCTCCAACTCTTTCAGAATAGGTAAGAGCCAGGAGTTTGCCGCAGCTATTCCTTACATTTTGGAAAACAAAATCACATTTCCTAGAGGTTGCCATTCTCAGCTCCCCACTGACAACTTGGTCAGGTTCACCAAGTCTCCATGATTACTCCATGATTACCTCCCCTGCCACAGGTCAGCGCAGGCCACAGTGCAGGACAACTAAACCCTACAATCTCCCAGAGCAGGAAGAGGGTTTGTATTTCACTTTAGAAAATTCATGTTCACAAGCTTTGGCTTGGGTTAGAAACACCCTAATCACCAGCCAGATAAATGAATCTAAAAAAATCCCCTCCAATCCCCTAAGTTGAGTTCTTTGGCTCCCGCTGGAACTCAAGCACCCTTCAGGTTTGGGGAAGGTGGGAGAGGCTGTTTTATGCTCCTCCTCCCAAGCTGGGGGCCAGAGAAGGGTTTGGCTCAATGATGTATCTCTCTCTCTCTCACACACACACACACACACACACACACACAGTTACTTTTACACACACCCCTGGTTACTTTTACACACACCTGGTTACTTTTACACACATACACACACACACACACACACACCTGATTACTTTTTTGGGGGGTGGATAGGGTGGTGCTGTTCGAGCAGAGGAGCAAAGAATATGGTCAAGAACAAACCCTGCAACAGGTTTCTTCCTCAGACCTTTCTCCACAGCCATCCTGACACACCCCACAATTCTTTATTGGGTAGGGATGGCCATCAAGAAGGAAGCCAAGATCTTGTTCTTTGGGACTAAAGGCCAGACCCCGAACTCCTCTCCTCGAATATAGTGATAGGACTTGGGCAGGGAGAACAGCTCACACTGCTCAACAGTCATGTCAGGGGATACCAAATTCCTTTGTTTCTTGAATAGTTGTTACTCAGCTTGGGACTAGACTTGGGTTGTTCCTAAGATGACACAAGAAGAGCAAACCCACTTTAACATTCATAACTCCCTGCTCAACACCTTTGTGGGGCTTAGGAATCAATGGCAGCGAGGTAGCCACAGCTACCTCCAAGATCAGATGCCCAAAGACAGAAAGAAAGGGCTTCATGGGCCATTCTCACCCATTTCCCCCAAAAAGCATGTGAGCTGACCCCATAAGGTACCAGTGTGGCATGGACCACTACAACACCCATGGGCATAACTCTTGCTCTTCCCTGGAGGAAATTTTAGGTGCCTGTCCACTCTTTTTGGATCCAGCCCTTGTCTGTTCCTCCCACTGTTTTTCCTTTTGTCCCTATGGTGCATAAGGAGGCCCAAGTAACCTCAGCTGCCATCCTTGATCCTATTCTCCTTCAAACAAGAGATGAGGTGCAGGGCTGTGGAGCACTGAGGATCAACTGCAACTAAAAACTCAATTTTGGGGGATGGTTGGACCAGCCACAGTCCCTGCTTTGACCATGACTCTATGCCTCCATATTACCTGTATCCACAGTGCACCTGTAGAAATTGCTTTTTGTATAAACAAAAACAAGAACAGAACCAACCAACAAACAAATGCCTCTCCCCAATCTTTTCTGTTTCAGCTGCCAGCTGGAGTCCAAGGTTGTGGGAGCCACACTTTAGTCTTGGTCCTGTACCTTGAGTCCCCCACCTGTGACCTCAGCCAAGGTCGAGGAACTAGCTTCCCTACCCAGGAATGCTGCAGGAACTTCCCCGAGATACTCATAGTCTCAGATTATTTACAGAGCTGAGGCTCTGGGGCTTCTGTCCCCTGATGCACTCTTCGGGTCTCCCGGGTCCACTCCTCCAGGAGGGGGACAGGTACAGACAGGGCGGCGGTGGGACCATCAGACCAGAGGTGTGCTCTTCGGTAGATTCTTCTGATCACTCCCACCACCCAGGGCCCCTTGCACCTATAGAGAAAACTGCCCGTCGGAAGTCTTGGACTGGCACCCTTGGCACATCCGTTTGTGTCTGAGTAATCGATCTGTCCGAGAAAAACACTGAGAAGAAAGGGAGGGTTAAGTGCCTGAGAGAAGAGACTCAGCTACCTGTTGGCTAGCTCTGTCTTCCCCACACAGGAAGTACACGTCCCCTCGGCAGGGCTACAGATGGCATAAACGTAGTGGTTAAGCATGAGAGCTCCCAAGTCTGAACCCTGGCTCTCCCACTCAGTGGCTGTACGGCCTTGGCCAAGCTATCTAACAGCCCTGAGTCTGTACGTTCATCTGTGAAGCGGGGCTAAAGCACCTACGCACAAAATGGCTGCTTCATTCAACAAATATTTATTGAGGATCTATCTCAAGGCAGGTACAGTTCTTGAGGCTGAAAAAGGAGTGGAGAACCAGAGGGACAAAGTCTCTGGCTTGTGGAGGTTTAATTCTAGCGTTTTGCAGATTCTATGGAAGAGCATGAAGCAAAGCTTCCAGGAAGTGTCAGCTGTTATCATTTCTCATCTCTTGTTCTTGTTTTGCTTTGGTGCTGGCTCTTACATTCTCATCAGATCAGATACTGACCCCAGGGCAGAGATTGTATCTCTTCCTCCAAAGTGCACCAGCTCTGAAGTTCACCGAATTCTGACTCTACCTTTGATCTGCTGTGTTCTTGGGAAACTTAACCTCTCTCTATCTCAGTAATGAGGACAGCACTGCTACCTTATGGAAGTAATGTGAGAATTAAATAAAATAATCTATGTCCAGTATGTTCTCACAGTGCCTGGTACCCACTAAGTACTTGAGAAATGCTATTACTATTATTATAATTATTGTAATGGCACCTCTCCATAACCAGCTGCATTTAAGGCCAGATATACCTCACTGTGAGGTGAAGTATTAACTCTATTATGGCCAGGAATGCTAGCCCCTGGTCAGGCAGGGAGTGGGAGCTGACCCTGGTTCTTAGGGAAGGAAAAGTATGTGTATGGGGCTGGATGGATGACATATAAACTTACCTGATGACACCGTTCACACTGGTAGGGCTTTTCACCACTGTGCACTCGCTTGTGACGCTCCAAGTGGTACTTCTGGATGAAGCGCATATCACATATGTCACACTCAAATGGCTTTTCACCTGGCCCAGGTGGACAGAGAAGTTAAAGTCAGGAGGCATGGATGGCAGGGACTTTCTTCTAGGTATTTTCCCAGAAACCTCTAATTTTTAGCAGTGTGCAGGCACCTAAGGGGAAGGGTCCCCAAAGCTGGTCTCAGTGACACTACAGAGCTATGCAATCTCTCTAATTCATTCACTTACTTTCTTCCTTTATTTTTAATACTTCACAATAAACCCAATTAGAGCTATACACATGCACAATACAAATCATAGCCTATTCGTTCCCTTTGAATATGAGCAAGAGGCTTACCTGTATGAATAAGGATGTGTCTCTTGAGGTGGTAACTGCTCCTAAAGGCTCCAAAGCAGTGTTCACAAATAAAATTTTTGGGACTCTTTACTTGAAAAGAACCATTTTGTTCCACTACCACCACCTGGGGGCAACAATCAGACATGTCATAAGGCTATCCCTCTGGACCCATTCTACTCTGGGCCTATTCCCAATTGGGACAGAGCAACCTGATGCTGTTGTCTCCTACTCCCTTAAGAGTTAAGGGACCCTCTGAGAAAGGAGGTGGGGTGGGTAAGCTGTGTACCCTGTCAAAGCCACCACTCTGTACGTAATCCAAGGGGAAGTCTGCCTGCCCCTCTGCCACAGGATCTAATGCTCCCTTGACCCCCTTTTTACCACAAATGTTTCAGTGAAGGCAGAGATCAACTACCAAAGTGGTCTCTAGATGCAATCAGAGTGACAAACTCACTGGCTATGAGGGAACAAGGTATCTTGGAAAAGCTCCAGGTTGAGCCATAGAGGGAAGAAAAAAGGTGATGACCCCACTGCTCAACTGGACTAATTCAGGGATTACCCCATTACCTGCCTTTTTAACAGTCTTTTTTGAGTGAGAGGCCTCAGCCAAGCTGTCATCATCTTTGCGGCTCCGGGACTTATCGCTGTCTTTTCGGTGCCCCTTTGAATACAAATCAAATCTAAACTCACAGTCCATCTCAGAACACAAGATAGGAGACCAAATACTGCTTTCAGACAATTTATGAATTGGAGTAAACCACCTGCCCCAAAGGATTAGAGAAAGCACTTATTTACTTCCTCTCCCTGTACTCTGGTGTTAAGGGGCTGCAGGCACAGAAAAGACCTTCATTGGCTCTCTAAAACACTCACATGTGCTCATTCCCTGGCTGGGGTCCCTTTCCCTTAAACAGGAGCATTGAGGAATCAAAGCATGGCATCTCCTAGCAGAGAGCTCGGGCCACCCGACCCGCAGGTGCCCCAACAGACTCAAGCGCTGTACCTGACTTGAGCACCTCAGCACATCTGGGCTACCTGCCCGCTCTCCATTCTCGGCCTGTTTGCTGGCGATCTGGCTCAGCATCATCTTCTTGCTGGCTGCAGTAGGAACCAAACTCACACCTGCTAGGCCTTCACAAGCCAGGAGACTTGCCTAAGTTGAAAGAAGATGAGGTGTCAGGTCACCTGGCAAGGCAGGGCAAAAATAGGCTGCCTTCCTCTACACAACCATCTTTTACACCCAGCTACACTGCTTCTCTTTAGGGAGTATCCCTTACCGTGAAACCCAGCTTCCTTCAAGAGTCCTCCCTAACTCATCTCATCAGGGCTGAGTTATTTATTTTGTTACCGTCAGCATTTGAATATAGATCAAATGAATAATCAAGTATTACTGATACTTTGGTCATTAGCACTAGGCTAGGTACAGTCAGACTGTGTGTGGGTCTACATGTTACTCTGAAGTATTTCTAGACCTTCTGAGTGTGCATGAGGGTCTGGCCTGCTGACCCCCAGAAATAGGAGATTTCTAGGAGACCCTCCTGCTTTCTTTCTCCATGCCACTCAGATTCACAGAGCTCACTCTGACTGGCAGACTTCATTGGTGCCAAATACATATTCTATCAGGTCCCATAAATGTTTATCAGTAAAAGTAGGTCATTTTGCCTTGTAGATCTTAAATTCCCTAAGTGTTGTCAATTATAGCAAGATATAAAAATTAAACCACTTGGAAGGATTTTGGAATTGAACAGTTTCTCTTGATCTATACTACTTATATGTGTGCATATCCATATTTTTCACATTCCCTGCTGCATGTTTATTTTAAAAACAACTTCAGCAAGGGGACTTAAGCAAAAATTTTAAGCTCTTTTTTCATGGTTGCATTCTTCAAACTGACTTTGTTTAGCTAGGACTAGAGAATATAATTTTCTTACTGAATAAACACTTTTAAAGAAATAGTTGACCAGTAAATTTCCACAAGTAATTTATAAAGAGATTCCTTTTAGATAATCAGTATATCCTGGGACACCTTCTCTCCCCTTTAAGGACTTTGGACTGAAAGGTCTGGAGGTAAAAAAGTAAGTCCTGCTGTTTGCACTGTATAATCTTGAGCAAATCACTCCATCTCTTTATGCCTCGTCTCCTTGAATGCAAAGTGTTTATTACAGTATCTATCCTCACAGGGTTAATGAGAATTAAATGCTCAGCCCAGTGCAAAGTTAGTGATTAATGAAAGGCAGTTTTCTCAGAATAAGAGTGAACACGATGCTGTAAAGAGTGTTGTAGATAGACAAGGGAAGAAGAGACTGAAGGGCCCGTACTCTGCATGGAAAGGAGGAACCAACACATGCAGCTGGAAGAAGGCCAATTATACTGTAGTCAGACTGCCATCCTGGTGAGACCAGCAGGGGAGGGCCCCTGGAAGAAAGCTGGGAGCAGCTCTGGGGATGCCTGTATATAGCTTTTCTACCCAGACAACTATAATAACCCTTCAGGTCATCCTGTCTTTCAAATACATCCTGTATCCCCACAATGACAATTACTTTGTAAATAAATTGATCTGATGTCACCCTGCTGCTTAACATTCTTCAGTGTTCCCACTCCCTACAGAAGAATTATCTAATTCCTTAGCAATCCATAAAAGGCCCTTGGGTAGTACTCTGCTTACTTCTCCAGGTACCAATCCCTGACTTCCCTATCGCCATCTATCTTATTTCCTGAGCACTCCCCCACTTGAATCCTTTCCTCCTAACTAGTGAATTACCTGCAGCACTCCTAACCTCCTCACATTTTCCCATGCCTCTGTGTCTCTGCCCATGCACTTCTCCTGCCTGAAGGCCTTGCTCTACTTGTGTATCTAGCAAAATCCTATGCACTCTTCAAGCTTCATCTTTTTCCGTCCAGGCAGAGGTATCATTCTCTTCTCTGCAGTGCACATACCTCTACTCTTGCACGTTCTTGCAATGAACAGATTCACTGAGTCTCTACTACCAGCCAGCTCTTACAAAAGGTGTTATAAAGATAGACTGTCTCTCCATCTCCCCTCATCCTAGCCCAACTAGCCTGGAAGCTTGCTGGGGACAGGAACAATCTTATTCATCTTTATATCCCCAGCACAATGCCTTGCATGTAACAGGAACTCAATAAATTCCTGTTGAAAAAAACAAAGCATTCATGAGATTGTTCACCCCCTCATGCCCCTCAGCACTTACTGTATACTAAGTGTATACTGAGTACGTGTTGCTTTGCAAATGTCCCATCAGTGCCTGTAATGCAGTATAGCCTACCTCCTTCATTTAACTGGAAGCTCCCTGAAGGCAGGGGCTGTGGCCAGTCTCCTTTCCTTCCTCTAGATCTCCCCCTGGTGATCAGTACAGAGCTTGGCTCACTGGGTTGTTCAATATGTTGACTAAGGCAGCATTCAACAGTGAAACTGCAAACGCCTCCCAGTGATCTTGAAGGAGGAGGATTCTAGAGCTTTTTACCTGAGCCATGCTGACTTCTCACTTAATGCAACCCAAAAGTTCAAGAATTTCTTGATCCACCTTTCCTTAAGACACTGTTGTTTGAAGAACTGTCACCAAATCACTGTAACCACTTCTTTGTGTCCCTTCAGTTCTGCTGCCATATTGAACAGCCTTTGTCTTCAGATAGAATGTAGTTTCCGCCAAAGGATGATGATAGATGGTCCAAGAATCCCTGGATTCTGCCAGGTTCCTGACTACTGTTTGAAGAAATAGAGTCTGCCAGTTTGGTTTTCCAAATGAATTCTCTCGATGAAGTTCACGGTGTGTTTGAGAAACCTAAAACCAGAAAGGGAGATGAGCTGTTAGGTGCAACATTCTCAAGTCATACAACCTGGAGTGGACTCCCCGCCCTTTTTGTTTTTTTTGCTGGACACTGTGAACCTCAGAGAGAAGCCATTAGTCAAGCAGTTTTTTTTCTAGCTTAAGAGAAGACACTGATCTCCTGGGCACAGTAGGGCAGCCAACAAGAGCAAAAGTATGGAGGAATGGAAAAAGGGGGCGGAGGCCCTTCGGGGCTTTTGTGCCGAGTGGGCCGGCCCGACAAGCTCACACTCTATTAAGGCGGCCCGACCGGAGCGGAGAAAAGCTCAGCGGCTATCGCTAGGCGCTCGGGTGGCAGGCAGAAACCGGAAAGGCAGTGCGTGCCCCGGCCGGCCCACAGGTGTGCGTTCCCCGTATCCGCCCGAAGGTACGCAAACTCGCTGCGGAGGTGAAAGGAGGGCAGACGTAACCCAGCGCTGCGCCGTTCCCTCACTCCCCCGAGCAGGCCAGCCAGCCAGCCAGCAGCCGCAGCATTAGCCGCACGAAGACGGCGGAGAGAGCCGGAGAGCGCCGAGGAGCGCGCGAGGTGCGTGCTCGCGCCCGCGTCCCCTCCGAGCAAGCCCCCCTCTGCCTGGCGGCCGGACCTGCGGGCGGGGGGCGGTACGCGTGCGCGGCCCCCTGCGTGCCCGACAAGCACTCTCCCTGCGCCACGCGCCCCTCCTCCCTTCCCCTCCCCCTTCCCGCGCTGCGCCCCACGGCCTGCGAGCTGCTGAGGCGCTGCCGTCTGCCCGGCCTACGGTGCGCTCTCCGAGCCTGCGCCTACCTGCCAGGCGCGGCCTCCCGCTGTCTTTCCCGCCGCGCGGCGCCTCCTCCAGGCCCCAGCACGCTGTGCCAACCCCGTGGCCACCGCTGCCCCTGCCGGGACCGAGGCAAGTTTACAAACACCAACCCGGGGCCCGTTTCCCCGGAAGCACTTCTCCCTCCCCCTCGTCCTCTCCGCTGAGCAGCAATATCCACTTCCGGGCTCGGGAGCCTGGACGGGCGGGGGCATCCCGAAGCGGGGTGAGGCTGAGGACGCAAGGAGGGGGGCTGCTGGTGAGTGGACTGTGCCGGCGAACAGAAGGACGGAAGGAGGCAGGCTAGCAGCCCGGCGCATGCGCCTTATTGCTGGCGCGCCCCCGCGGCCATCTTCACTGAGGGCAGAACGAAGGCCTTGAAATGATGGTGTGCTAGGTTCTCGTTGATAGGTTTTGGTAGGTGAGCTGTTTAGGGCTTCTTGAAAAAGCTCCATCAGTTTCCCTTCCTCGCGGACGTTCACCCTGTCGCTTCTAAGCCTGGATCCCCAAACAGAGCCAGAAAAGTTCGTACCCGACCTTCTCACGTAACTCGGCCGATGTTGTCTTTAGTTGAGCTTGCCATCAGGCCCAGTTCTGCAGATTTTGCAGCCGCCCAGCTAGTTGGGAAAGGAGTTAACTTTCTTTGCACTCCTGCCGTGTGCACTCAACTCCAATCTGAAAATGGGTGCCCCGGCAGTGGTCTGCGCATACCGAGGCCAGACTGGTTCTCTTATACTGCTTCCCCCTTTATTCCGGACCGTCCAACGTCTAACATTGTCCTTCTCCCCGAGAAAAAGCCATAGGATTCCCTTCAGGAAACTGTAGTCTAGTTGGAGACTTGGCGATGAAGGTTGGCCCCTGGGCCCGGCTGCATATGGAAAATGGAAACTCAAGTCTTTCTTTAAATTGTACTCCCAACTTTAGCTGTTAGGGAGGGGTCCCTCTGGCAAGGTACACTGGATGGAAGGAAATGTCGATTCCATTTAGGTACCAGCTTCTGCTGTAGGTGCGGTCAGGTTGTGAGTTTAGGATAATTAATGGAGATACCAAAAGAATAAAAAAGACTTTCTGTACACAGGTTTCATTTCCTGAGCTGTCCATGTTTTGAGCCATAAACAGCAAGTCCTTATGCTTTTAGCATCATCATAAAGTTGAGATAAAATGAGGGAGAAGTGTCATCAGAAGTCTTTACTAAAAAATTAGCTCATATTTACTTTAACAAATCCACACAACACAAAAGAATGAGGCAAAAATGTTTAGTTTCCCCCACTACTCACCCATGTTCCTGAAGTTAGTCACTTTTACCAGTTTGGTGTTTGTATCCCCAGGCTTTTTTCTGTGTTCATAAAAAATCCAGAACATATTTAGTGACTACTTACTATGGACCACACAAATGTATTTTAGAAATTTTCTAAGTCGGGTTACTTTTTAAAAATTGTTAGGTAGGGTTCCAACTTATGTTTATACTTTATAATTTGTCTAGACCCATCCTGATGAGCATTTAGGTGAGTTCCAGTTTTTTTGATTTATAAACAAAGCCATGATGAACAACATCCTTACATAGTTATCCTTTTGCACTCACAGATTTGCAGATAGGATATGTGCATTTAAAATTTTAATAGTCTATGAAACCGACTTTCAAAAGTTTGTAACGATTTACACACTCAGAACTGTGTGAATGTCCACGTTTCCTATAGTCCTGGAAAGACTGGATGCTATAAATTCTTTTTATATAGTTGCCAATTTGATAGATGAAAAATAGTAATTTCATTTTTTAATTTGCATGCCATTAACAGTTGAAGTAGAGCATCTCTTGTTTTTTTTGACCATTTTAATATTCTTTGTAAACTGAGTTCATATCTTTAGCCTGTTGAGGAAAAAAGTAGATTATGTGTCTATTTCTTAACAATTGGTAGAAATCTTCTGTATTTTATTAGTTTTTGTATTTGTCATAGGGATTTAAAATTTTCTCTTAGTTTTTCATTTATCTTTCAACTTAAAAAAAAAAAGTTATGCTGTATGGGAAAATATTTGAAACATTCCTATCAAAAATAGGAACAAGACAAGAATGTTTACCATCAAAACTAATATTCTGCTAGCACTGCTGATCACCCAAAACTCTTATTATTTTCATATGATATATTCATCTACAAAGAGAATCAGTTGACAAACTACTAAAACCAGTGAGTTCAGCAGCATGGCCAGATAAAAGATTAATAAACAAAAATTATGAATAAAACAGAACAATAACCAACTATAAAAAATCATAAAATTTCATTCACAATAAAAATATTACATTTCTAGAAATTTTAACAGGAAGCTGAAAGTCACAGCTTAAGAAAATCAGACTGTTTCAGTGAGAGACAACAAAGGTGTGGTTAAGTGGATAGTTTTACCATGTCCATGAATAGGACAACTGAATATTGTAGAGACATAAATTTTTGCTGTAGAATTTACCTGTCAGTAAATTCTAGTACAACAGAACTTTGCATTTGAACTTAAGCTGATTTTAAAATGTACATGGAAAGTTATAACTGCAAGGAGAGCAAAAAACATTTTGGAAGCACTGAGTGGATAAAATAATGAGCAAGGAAAAATAAAGCCATGAGTTATTTTAACCACTTCAATGGTGTCTTTCTTTACACAGAATTTTAGAAGTTTTGTATAGTGAGATCTGCCTGTGGCTTTGAGTTTTTGTGACATGCTACCTCAAGATTAACGAACTATTTCCCTATGTTTCTTTCTGGTATTCTTGAAGTTGTGTATTCTCAGTTTATGACTTTATCTCGGGGCAGTTTATTTTTGTGTATGTTGAGAGGTAGTGAGAAATGCCAGACTTAAAAGGGACCAATAATGTGGGATAGGTACTAGCTTAAAAGTCAGAAAATCAGAGAGCTATGCTTGTTCCTATGTCACCTTTGTAATCTTGGACCAATTAATTTATGCTCTCTGGCCTGAGAACCCTTATATTGAAAATGAGGATAAATAAATAAATGACTTTTCAGACTAATTTCTAGCACTGTATTATGATCAAATGAGATCATAAATGAGAAGGCTTTCAGAAGAAAAAACCCTGCAAATCTCTTTAAAGTTATCATTAATAAAGGTTTTTGGTTTATGCAAATCAAATGCAGGTGGAGTGCAGCATTACTTTTCAGTACCTGGAACTACTGATTCACCAAATGTTTATTGAGTGCCTTTGTGCAAGACCTTGTGGGAAGGGTGTGGAGGGTGGAGGGGATGAAAACTTTGCATTTTTGAGCATCTGTTTTGTATTTACTTACTTAAAGAAGGAAAAGGCTTAGTCCTCCCGCCTCAGGAACTTACAGTCTAGAAGGGAAGAAAACACCATACAGATAAGGAGAATTGGTGTCTGTATCAAGGTGAATATTGAGTCAGTGGGGTTTATTAATAGGTAAGATAGTACAGAGGTCAGTATTTTCACTTTCTAATGATAAGCCTGTGTAAAAGTGCTTTAAGAAGCAGTTGCCCTGATACCTTTTCCCACCGGCAGGCCTCCTCCTGTGCCACCTTCCCTAACCTTCTCTGCACACCATTCCCTAAGGCCCATCCCATCACTTACTCAGCTAGTATTGTAATGATTACTGATTGGTCTTTTCCTGTGCTAGCTCTCTTATCTCCTGAAGGAGAGAGCGCCTGAGTGCTTTCTCTTTGGAGGCTGCTCTGGGCCAATTGAGCAGAGTTAACCAGCTGGGCCTGTGCTTTGCTAGTATTCCACTCTGTTGTGATGAGCATGCCTTTACTGTACACGCTGGCCTCCCTGCTGGCCTTTTAGCTGAAGTGCATAGGCAGATGTTGCGCCCGGGGTGGTGCTGGGCAACAGAAGTACACAGTCAAGGTTTGCTGAACTAGCTAAACCTGTTTCTCTGAGCGTCCATTGGGCTGAGTAATAGAAATGAGCAGTATATGGCTACCTTTGTCACCCGCCAGACCTTTTGTGTGATAGTGGATTGAGGAGTTGGGAAATCACATGATGGACCAGGGTATTTTTTTGAGCCTGGCGATTTGTATATTTTGGAATTCTTGTTGCACCTTAATTCCTTCTTAATCTTTTTGTAAAAATAGAAATAAATAAAAGCAGCCTTTATGTTAATTACATAAGTAATGTGCAATTATTGCATAAAATAAAAAACAAGTGTATAAATATCCAGAAGTAACCACAGTTAATATTTTGAAGTTTTCCATCTTTCTCAGTCTTTTAGAAAATGCAAGGGGAGTGACTGCTAATAGGTATGGGGTTTCTTTTGGGGTGATGAAAATGTTCTGAAATTAAATAGTGTGATAGATGTACAACGTTGTGAAATACTAAAAACCACTGAATCGAGCACTTTAAAAGGACAATCTTCATGGTATGTGAATCATACCTCAATAAAGTTGTGATTTTTCTAAAAATGCTTGTAGCTAACATATAGTGTTGTCTTTATCTGAACTGAAAGTGGCAGATGTCATGCTCCTTAATTGCTAAATGTTTCCTCATATGTTTTCTCAAAATAACGTCCTCTCACATAACCACAAAGGAGTTGATCAAACCAGGAAATTTAATGCTGATAGAATACTAATAATTATGATGCCATCGCAGTGAGATTCCACCAATTGTTCCAATAATGTTCTTAGCAGGTTTTTGTCCCCTATTCAGGAGTCAATGTAAGATCACACATTCCTTTTGGTTGTAAAGTCTCTAGTTTCCTTCCATCTGGAACAGTCCCTCCGTCTTTCTTTGATTTTTGTGATGTGAACATTTTTGAAAAGTACAGGCTGCTAGTTCTGTAGAATGCCCTCAATTTAGATATATCTATTTCCTCAATTAAGTTTGAGTTAGGCATTTTTGGTAGAGAGATTACCTAAGTGCTGTTGAGTGCTTCTCAGTGACTTACCGCAGGAGGCCCATGATGTCAGGCTGTCCCATTATTGGTGATGTTTGCTTTGATCACTTGGGTAATGTGGTGTCTACCAGGTTTCTCCACTGCAAGTTACCATTTTCCCTTTTAAATGTTTTTAAGGAAAATAATTTTACAACATGCCCCAGAGGTGGGGAAGTTTACCTTTATCCAGGTTTTAATGTGCTGTTTTCTGAATAAGAGAAAGCTGTAACAACATTTGAAGATTAAATAAAAAGGAAACAAAACAGCCAAGGATGAGGAGGCAGGAGATCAGGTGGAATCTGGGTTTGAGCAGCCAGTGGAAAATGGTATCATCTTCATTGAGCAAGAAGAGCATATTTGAGAAGACTGCTAATGAGTTCAATTTGGGGCCTAATGAATGTGAAATGCCTTTGAGACTTGCAAATTAAGCAGGTGGCTTTGTGGATCTGGGCTCAGAAAAGAGGTCTGGGGTGGAGGAGTCCCCAGGGACAGGTGCAGAATAAGGATGAAAGAGGCCTTGGACTAGAATCCTGAGGGACTCTAGCATTTAAGGGAGGGCCAAAGGAAGGTAAAAATGCAAAAGAACCTAATTTGTCAGGGGCAGTCATTTGGGAGCCAGAGAAAGGAAATGTTTCAAGATGGGATGGCAAACTATGTCAAATGGCTTCAGGGGGTCAGGTAGGATAAAGATGGTATGTGTCCATTAGATTTGGAGGCAGGGATGTTCTTGGTGACCTTGAAGGTGGAAGCTACATGGCGGCAGCTTGAAGAAAGTGTGAAAGGAGGGGAAATGAAGGCAGGGAGTGTAGGCAGCTCTTTTAAGAAGGTTAGCTATGAAGAGGAGGTCACTGGGACCATACTGTGAGAGGTTTAAACAATTAAAAATGCTGTGAGAAAGAGGTAGTTAGAAGGAGAGATGAAATGAGAGGGAGAATCAAGAGAGTATTCCTGAGGGAGGAGAGGAAGCCTTTAGGTCAGTAGATCCAACTCAGCTATCTTCAGGGCCAGGCAGTTAATGCAAATGAGGTGAGGTGGCCTGTTGTGGACAGAACAGAGGTGAAACTGAAAATTTTTAACGCCCTGTGCCCAATGCTTGGGAGTTTTTATGCTTTCACCCATTGCCATGTGCTTTGTAGCGCCCTCTTATGGGAGGGCTATAATCCTCACCCCACTGTTCCCTGGGGCTGCTTGGGTCTACTGGATACAAACAAGCATCATATGCTAGGTATAAGTAGAAGTTTTAAGAGTAAGTACGTGGTTTTCTCTGCTTTTTGCTCTCTTCCTCTGCTGTGGGAACATTGTGTCCCAGATAGGGACTGTTCCTTCAGCCTTGTTCTTGGAATAAAGGCACATGAATCAGAGCTATAGCCAACCCCCACTGGCAATGTGAACCATGACAGAGAAATAAACCTCTGTTGTTGGAAGCCCATGGGATTTTGAAGCCATTAGTACCACAGCAAAACTAATCCAGAAGTTCAACTGAAATATAGCTATACTAAGACACCATTTCTTAGTCCTCAAAAAGATTCAGAAGTTTAATAGCATACTCTTGCAGAGGCTGGGAACACAGGTGCTTTTGTACACTGGTACAACCTCTGTGGATGTTGGCAATCCTTATCAGAATTACTAATGCAGATGGTTATAAAATAAAAAAAAGACAATAAGTCTGGCACAGATGTGGAGAAATTGGAACCTTCATACATTGCTGATAGGACTGTAAAATGGTGCAGCCACTTTGGAAAGCCAATATGGCAGTTCCTCAAAAAGCTAAGCATAGAATTACCATAACCCAGCAGTTCTACCACCTGATATATACCCAAGGAAATTGAAAACATCTGCCCACACAAAAACTTGTACATGAACGTTCACAGCAGCATTATCCACAACAGCTAAAATGTGGAAACAGTCCCAATGTCCATCAGTTGGTTAATGGATAAATAAAATAGTACATCCGTACATTGGAATATGATTTGGCCATAAAAAGGAATGAAGTACTGGTACTTGCTACAACGTGGTTGAAACTTGAATACATTATGACTTAAGAAGCCAGTCACAAGCCAGGTGGAGAAAGACAAGTACCGAATAACTTCACTCATTTGTGGAGTATAACAACAAAGCAAAACCGAAGGAACAAAGCAACAGCAGAGTCATAGACTCTGAGAAGGGACTAGTGGTAACCAAAGGGGAGGGGTTGAGGAGGGTGGGTGGGGAGGGAGAAGGGGATTAAGGAGCACTATAATTTGCAGTCACAATATAGGTGGGTCACAGGGAAGGCAGTACAGCACAGGGAAGACAAGTAATGACTCTGCAGGCATCTTATTATGCTGATAGTGACTGCAGTGGACTTGATAATATGGGTGAATGTTGAAACCATAGTGTTGTTAATGTGAAACCTTCATAAAATTGTATATAAATGATACTTTAATTTAAAGAAGAAGCCCGTCACAGAAGATCATGTATTATATGGTTCCCTTTATATGAGATGTCCAGAATAGGCAAACCTATAGAGGCAGAAAATAGATCAGTGGTTGCCTGGGGTTGTGAGGAGGGGAGAATAGGGAGTGATTGCTAATGAGTTTCTTTTAGGGGTGGTGAAAATGTTCTGGAAATAGATAGTACTGATGGTTGTGCAATTTTGATCCTATACAAAAAACCCACTGAATTGTATGTTTTATGGTATGTAAATTATGTATCAATAAAGCTGTTATATTTTTTAAAATGCGGAAGTTCTTCATGTACTGTTAAAAGATTATCCATATATTAACTGAAGAAAGCAAGGTGCAGAACAGTGACTATATGCCATATTCTCTATGAAAAGGGAGAAAATAATATATATTTACATTTTTTAGTTTTTGCATTAAAAACTTTCTGAAGGGTTACCCAAGAAACTAATAAAAACGATTACCTGTGGGGGTGGGGTTGAGAATGGGGCCTATGGAATGGGGTGGGAATTAGACTTTCCACTATTAATATTTTTATATACTTTGACTTTTGAACTACCCGAATATATTTCTTAATCAAAAAATGTAAAATAATGCATAACAGTAATAATAACAAAGGGGCAACTCCAGCTACAGGTAATTCTTGCTATTTATTAGTTCAAGCCAGTGTTGCTAGGTCTTCTGGGTTTTTTTGTCCAGAAGCTGGGAGTTTAGCATTAACAATTATCTTCAGAGTTTTTAAAACATACCATCCTAGCTGAACAAAACCAGGTCTGTGGGTGGGGGTGGGCTCACTGCCTTCCAGTTTATGCGCTTGCTTTAGACTGTGAACTCCATGAGGGCAGGGCTGTGGCCTTTTGCTCTCTGTTGTACCTCTAGTGGCTACCAAAGTGCTTGGCACATACTAGATTCTGAATACACATTAAAGGAAGGAAGGGAAGTGGGAGGGAGTGAGGGATCCAGAGTGCAGGTAACAAAGTGGAGTGAGTTTTGATGACTTTTATTTTCTCTAAGAAATTTGAAATGAAGGAAATGGAGAAGGTTGCTAGGTCAATTATTTGAGAGGTGTGGGAAAGTTTTGAGGTCCTTGCTGCAGAGAATTGGAGATAGAGCTGCCAATGGAAAAATAGTAATGTTGCCAGGCAGTGTTGAGCATCCAGGTAGCATATAGTCTTCACTGCTTTTTGCCTCTGAATATGGTTACTACCTTCCTTACAGTCCTGGGAATTCCCTTCACCTCTCTCCTGTGTTTGAGGAATTTGATGTAGTCTAAATCTCTGTCCTCTGTCTCTGACCTGGTTTTGGTTTGGTTTGTTTTCTCTCCTGGTCTTTGGATCCTCCATTGTTCAGAAACAGGATTCTCGTCTGCCTGTGTGTTGGTCAGCCAGTGGATTCTTTTAGTTTGTCCTGTTCTTCAAAGCTTCTTTGATTTCTTTCCCCTCTTTCTGAAACTTCCATTAGGTCACTGGTGTGCCTTTTGGATCGATCTAAAGTTCTTTTCTCTTTTATTGTCCATCTCTTTAAACTTTTATCTTTCTGTGTGATTTTTCTTGACTTCATCTTATTTCTGATTTTCATTTCAGTTGTCGTATTTTTTAACAAACCCTTCTTCGTTCTGCCAGCATCTTCTCAGCATTAAAGCAGTGATCTAACTCTAGTCACGTTCCTTCGCTTTGACGTACTATCTTGCAGGTCCTTCTTGCTTTGAAAAAGGAAAATTCTCTTCCAGCAGAGGCTCTTCCCTCTCTCAGGTCCCAGGACAGGATTCCGTATGAGGAGTGAGGGTGGTGATGTCTCAGTTCCCTGGCAGAAATGGGGGGTGATCAGAGCCCACACCTCCAGGTTTACTTCTGAGTGGCGACTGGGGTGATAATGGATAAAGAAGTTGCTGGGTGGATGGAGCCATGTCTTCCCCGCCAATCAGAGCTTTGAGAAAAACTTCTCTTCAGCCGACAGTCTCTCATCCTCACCAGTCATTCCCTACTTGCAAACACCTTGCAACCTGTTTTCCATCTTCACGGTGACATGAAAGTCTTCCTTGGCCAGCTTGCCATATCCAGCAGCCTGAGCTCCTAGGAGTACCAGCAGATGCCTTTGGAGATTCTGTCTTTCAACCCCGGATTTTGCAGAAACTGAGGCCCTGAGGTGTCCTCATTCCTGGCCCAATGGTCTTTGCAACTACAGCAAACTCAGTGCCTGAGAGAGCCACCGGTGAGGCAATGAGCGTGACTGGATCACAACAGGGCCTTCAGACGCCCAGAGCCCCAGAGCCCCACATGCCTGGTTCAAATCCAGCTTGGCCATGTACGTGCTGTGTGATCTGGACCAGTTACATACAGAGTGTCCCTGAAATCTCAGCTTCTTCATCTTAAATGTAGGTAAACTTACTCTAAACAGCTGTGAAGATTAGAATAATGCATACTAAATTCAGAGTCTGGCAGATGGTAAGTACTTCAGTGGTAGCTGTTTTTATTAGGCTTTCAACCTAAACACCCGACTTCTGCCACCCATTGGGGAGCTGGAGTGATCACTGAGGAAGGAGTGACTCTTTCATTCTCAAGGTCTGGGCCAGCTCCCCTCTTCTCCCCAAACCCAGTCTAGTGAGGAAAAATTTAAGGGTTTGACTACCAGAGTTCTTTGGACCTGTGGTTTCAATTAGTGTGGGGTCCAGTGGCTTTTGGCAGTGGATTATATCATAGCCATGCAATTTCAGGAAGCTTCCTCCCTTTCCACATTCTTTCAGTCCTCTTGCCCCCTCATCTGGGGGATTCCCCAGGTCTTGGTGTTTGCCTGCCTCCAAGCATTCTCTCTGTGGGAATGGGACCCATTACAAGGCTTCTGCTCCCCTCAACCCTGTTCAATTTGCTTTCTATTGTAGCAGCTCAGTGGAGCTCAGGGCCTGACCTCCCTCATTCCTCTCTCTGATTTTTCCTGCTGACACCGCCCTTACTCAGGTGTGGATCACCTCTTACCTGGTTTACAGCAACAGCCTGTTAATTCTCCTGCATCCTTTTGCTGTGTACGGGACTTCTGAGCATCAGTGTCAGCGCATTATTCCTTGCCACAGAATCTTCCAGTAACTTCCCGTTTTCTGCAAGATAAAATTTAATCTCCTTTGCCTGGCTGTCATTCAAGGTTCCCCATAATCTTGTGCCCTCCCTCATGCCTTTGCTGCCTTATCATCCCTACAGACCCCCCTCCAGCCAGCCAGGTGCCTTCCCTGACCTTAGAACAAGCCATCCTCATTCCCAGTGTAAGCTCCTGGCATTCCTCCCCTCCCCTGCATGCCTTCCTCCTCCCTTTTGTTATTCCCATTTCTTCTGCCTGCTTTCATGATTCAGCTCCAGCCCCAGGAAGATCTCTCCAGCTTCAGCCTCCATTCATATCCTCTTTTCTTGACTAGCACTCTGGGCTCAGGTTATGACTGGGCAGTAACTGTGGCATGTGCATTTGTGTCCTCCCAGTGGGACAGGGACGCTTTTTCCATCCCCAGCACCCTGTCATGAACAGAGCTGGCACTCACTTCAAAAAAAACATTCCCTGTTTATTGAGCACTGTTGCCTGCAAGGCACATGATTACACTTGTTTAATAAAATGTTTCCTCAACGTAACCTCCTTTCCTTCCTGCTCTAGGAGAGGGCTTTAGAAATCAGGACAGTTCTGAAAAGGCTCTGAGGGTTGGGATGCAAAGAGATTGGCTTCAAAGGCCTGCCTAAACCATTTCACCTTCACAGGTCTCTCTCAGACTCCCTGCCCCTTCAGTCACTGGGGTCACCAGCAGGGCTTCCTGTGCCTGCCCCCACTGCCCTTGTCTCCCTGCCAAACATCCCCCATGTCCCCACTCCTGGGCCCTTTGATTCAGGGTGGGAAGCCGCATTTCCGGATGGTGCTCTGCTCCCCTCAACCCTGCAGTTAACACAGCACTTGTTTTTGCCTTTCATCTCATTTCCCCACTTGTTCATGTCAGCTAATGATTATTCAGGAGACTTATCTCAACCTGCTGTCCCTGTCCCAAATCTGTAAGTGCTCTTCAGGGCAAAGGTCATGTGAGTGATGTCATGGTCATGTGACTGCCACCTATGCCCCACCCCCTCTTGCTGCCCTGATCCTAACCTTCTGAAGAGCTAATTGTGTCCCCTGCCTCCAGCTCACCTGAACAAAGACCTGAGCAGAAAGGTGAGGCTTTCATCTGTTAGGTGGGCAGTGGCCATTAGATCCCACCTGCTCAACACTAACTGCCTTTTTCTTTCCCACTGTTTCTACTGGCTTCCTCCCAGGATGCTCTCACTTACCATTGTCTGTACAGTAAAGGCTGGGGCTGCAACTTTAGCTCATTATGGGGTTAGGGTTCTTGCTGGTTCGATCCAAGTGGGGTGCACAGGCTGAGTAGGGAATAACTCCTGCTCTACTCACAGATTTTATCCTGATGGCTGACTCTAAACCACTCCTCTCCCTTGATGGGGACCCTGTGGCTGCAGAAGCCTTGCTCCGGGATGTGTTTGGTATTATTATGGATGAGGTCATTCGGAAAGGGACCAGTGCCTCTGAGAAGGTGGGTCCTTTCTCCCTCCTCCTCCTGCCTGTCAAACCTGGCTCTGAACTTTCCTCCTCTGACAAGGCTTCTCCCCAGAATTCACTGACTCACTGTGTGCCTTAGGGATCATATATTGGGTCATACTGTGTTTATTTACCCTTTTTCATGTGCTGCTTTGAAAATATTCCTAACTTGTTTTAAGTGCAAGCTGGTGGTGCCTTGTGTCACTTCTGCTCCTAGGTCTGTGAGTGGAAGGAGCCGGAGGAGCTGAAGCAGCTGCTGGATTTGGAGCTGCGGAGCCAGGGGGAGTCACAGGAGCAGATTCTGGAGCGGTGCCGGGCTGTGATCTGCTACAGCGTGAAGACCTGTGGGTCCTGGGTTCTCGTGGGAGGAGTGCCTGGAGTTTGTACCCAGCTCCACTCTGAACTCCCTGCCCCCTTCTCCAGGTCACCCTCACTTCTTCAACCAGCTCTTCTCAGGGCTGGATCCCCATGCTCTGGCTGGGCGCATTGTCACCGAGAGCCTCAACACCAGCCAGTGAGCTGTCCTGAGGCCCCTCCCACCGCCCCACAAAGGATTTGGATTTGCTTGAGACATGCCCTGGGGGAGGGGAGGAAAATAGATGTTGCCCCCTTTTTTCTGGGAATCTGCCGGTAGAGTCTTTCCCCTTTACCTGCTTTGGGCTCCCTTTCTCCCAGCTTTCTCATGCCTCCTGACCCCAATTTTTCCTCATCCTTCTTTCCACCGTTCTTTATTATCAATTCCTTGGGCCCTCCCCTCTCATTCCCTCCACCACCTCCTTCTGACTCCCCCTGGCCTGGCCATCCTTCCTCATCTCTTCCCCTTTCTCATCATTTCCTCTTCTGACAGGTACACTTATGAAATTGCCCCCGTGTTCGTACTCATGGAAGAAGAGGTGCTGAAGAAACTCCGGGCCTTGGTGGGCTGGGGCTCTGGGGATGGAGTCTTCTGCCCTGGTGTGTGAGAAGGAGGGGTGCTTTCCTTTGGCCCTCTTAGGGGTTCCCCCTGCCCTTCTCTTGCTTTCAGCTGGCGGTGGTGGGCGGGAGGGGGGTGGCTTCCTCCTTGTCACCTCTCCACCTGGGCTCTGTTAAACCAGAGAGAAGCTGCCCAGTCCCCTGTACCCTTATGTTTGCTGAACAGCCCACGGGATCAGTGCTCCAGTGCCTGTTTTATAGGGGGTGGGCTGTCCTGGATAGCTCAGGATATGGGGGTGCAGCCAGGGTGGTTATCAACATGCCATTCATGGAGTCCTGGGAATTTGTGGCCTGGGAGCCAACCACAAGTGTTGCTTTGATCACTTCTACTGGGTAGAGAAATCGGGTGAGGCAAGCTTAGTTTTGACCCACTGCTCTCCCTCCTGCCATCACTCCTCATGACAGGTGGTTCCATCTCCAACATGTATGCTGTGAACTTGGCCCGCTATCAGCGCTACCCAGATTGCAAGCAAAGAGGCCTCTGGGCACTGCCGCCTCTGGCCCTCTTCACATCAAAGGAGGTGGGAAGAGGCACAGGCCTACCATGCGCCCTTGATTCTAATCTCTAGCCAGCTGTGTCTTGAGACCCTTCTCTTCTGAGCCTAGCCTGCCCTCAGTCAAGGGGCTCGGTAAACACTATCACTCTCCTTGCCTTCTGTCTGGGGGCAGTGGGTAGTAGAGGGGCAATGAGTATAGTGGACACAGACAGCATACTATCTGCTCCGAGTGTGGTCCATGGATCAGCACCACTAGTATCACCTGGGAGCTTGTTAGAACTGTAGAAGCTTGGGCTCCACCCGACCTACTGAATATGAATCTGCATTTTAACCAGACACCCTGGTGATTTGTGGGCACGTGACCATTTGAGCGGCCCTGGTCTATGTGGTCTCATCTACTGCAACTCCCGCTTTTACAGAGCTTTCTCCTCCCCATCCTCCCTGCCTTCTTGCCCCTACCCTAATCTGACCTCTCTGCCTTGCTCCACAGAGTCATTACTCCATCAAGAAGGCAGCTGCTTTTCTGGGACTTGGCACCGACAGTGTCCGAGTAGTCAAGGCAGATGAGAGGTGAAGGTCCTCTGTCCACATGGCTCAGAACCCAGCCTGGCACAATGCACCTCCTGCTGCCAGAAACTCTTGCTTCAGGCCCATGCCCCTAGTGGACTTCTCTCTCCTCTTTGTTACTGCAGAATCACCACTTCTGTCTATCAGTGCCTGCTAGGGTCTCCTGCCTGGTCCCCTGAGATCTGTTTAACCCTTTTAGGGAAAAAAATCAACATTATGGCCTCTGCACTGCTAGCCCCTCAATACTCTGCTCTCAACAGTTCTGCCTCCTAGCCTAGAAAAACTACTACTTCTCTACCCACTCAGTTTTCTTTTCCAGAGGGAAAATGATCCCTGACGATCTGGAGAGGCAGATCCATATGGCTGAGGCAGAGGTGAGTGAGTGAGTGAGGAGCTTTGGGGCAATGAAGCTAGACCCCTCTGTTCCTTTCTTGGGGGGGTTCTTAGGCTGTTTCTATTCAAGGCATCCCTCATCCCTCTCCTTGGTTTCCATGCCCATCTCCCCTGTGGGCTGCAGGGACACGTGGACAGCCTGAGGAGGACACTGTGGTACTCTTGGGCCCTGCTGAGACCCAAAGGCAGGATGGGACCCCAGGAGGCCGGAGTGGGGCTGGGTCACTGAGTGCAGTTCAGGGTGGCACCACCAGGAGGATGCATGCCTGAAACACAGGGCGGGAGGTTCTGTGAGCTGGCAGGCTCTGTGCAGGGAGACCCTCAGGCAGATGTGTGGGCCAGTGGCCAGGAGCACTGGCTGTGAGCCATGGGAAATGTGGGGCACCAGCCCTCTTCTCCACACGGGGGCAGATAAGGACTACTGCAGCCATCCTGGGGGGCATTTTGGCACTATCTGTACAATTTAAATGTATCTATCCATGGATCCAGAGTCCCACTGCTAGGATTTATTCTATGAATCATCACAAGTGCTTAGAATTCTGCACTGGAGCAAAGAGGAACATTATGTATTTTTTAAAGTGTGCATCAGTAGATAAATTATGGTGTATCTCTGTGTCTCAGTTTTGTCCTTTGTAAAATGACTGTAATACAGAACTTATTACGTAGGGATGTTGTAAGAATTGAATGAATTAGTATATGTAAAGTTATAAATAAATATTGAATATAATATATATTAGCTGCTGCTGTTGTTATTATTGGAGTACTCTGAGGTCGTTGAAAAGAGTAAGGTGAGAATATATATGTACTAACATGAAAATGCCTCCAGTATTCATCTATGTATAAAGTAGATCTAGCAAGTTACAGTGTAGAATGGACACTTTGAGCCTATTCTTATTTAGGACAATATATATTTATTGATACATGGATGTTGCTTCTGAGTAGCAATATAAGCAGTAATTAGAATAGTGGAGTACCACTGTGTATAAATTATTTTTTACTAATATATAGTTCACATGCCATACAATTCAGCTACTTATAGTGCACAATTCAGTGGTTAACATATTTACGGATGTGTACCACTATCAACTACAATAAATATTAGAACAGTTTCATCCCCCTAAAAATAAATCCCATATACCCTTTAGGCTTCAGTCTTCAATTCTCTCAAACCTCCCATTAAGCAACATTAATCTACTTTGTATCTGTGGATTTGCCTGTTCTGGATTTTTCATATAAATGGAATCATACTGTCCATGGTCTTTTGTGAAGAACTTCTTTTACTTTACATCTTTTACTATGATAGCTTCAAGGTTCATCCTTTAGCATGTACCAGTACTTCATTCTTTCCCATTGTCAAATAATATTCCATTGTATGGATGTAACACATTTTATTTATCCATTCATCTGTTGATGGACATTTGGATTGTTTCCACTTTTTAGCTGTTTTGAATAATGCTGCTCTGAACATTTGTGTACAAGTTTTTGTGAACATGTTTTGCATTTCTTTTCGTTATATACCTGGGGGTAGAATAGCTGAGTCATATGGTAACCTTTGAGGAACTGCCAGATTGTTTTTCAAAGTGGCCGTACTGGTTTACAATCTACCAGCTTTGTATAAAGTTTCCAATTTCTCCACATCCTCACTAACACTTGTTATTTTTTTTTGTTGCTGTTCAGTGAGTGTGAAGTGGTACCTTGTTGTGGTTTTGATTTGCATTTCCCTGATGACTAATGATGTTGAGCCTGTCGTGTTTATTGGTCATTTGTATATCTTCTTTGGAGAAATGTCTGTTTAGATCCTTGCCCAGTTTTTAATTGTGTTGTCCTTGATGATTGAGTTATACCAGTTCTTCATGTATTCTGTCCCTTATCAGATACATAATTTACAAATATCTTTTTCCATTCTGTAGTCTGTATTTTCACCTCCTTGATAAGTATCCTTTGAGGCACAAAAGTTTTAATTTTGATGAGGTCCAGTTCATCTTTTTTTTTTGTTTGGTTGCTTGTGCTTTTGAGGTCATATCCAGAAAGGCTTTTCTTAACCCAAGCTCATGAACATGTACTCTGGTATTTTTATCTAAGAGTATTAAAGTTCTAACTCTTATATTTGGTTCTATGATCCATTATGAATTAATTTTTGTATATGGCGTGAAAAAAGGGTTCACCTTCACTCTTTAGCATGTGGCTATCCAGTTGTCCCGGTGCCATTTGTGAAAAGATTCTTTCCCCAGTGAATTTTCTTGGCATCTTGTTGAAAATCAGTTGACTGTAGTTGTGAGGGTGTGTTTCTGTTCCATTGATCTGCATGTCTATTCTGTAGACCACATTGTCTTCATTGCTATGGCTTTGCAGTCAGTTTTATAATCAGGAAGTTTAAGTCCTCTGACTTTGTTCTTCTTTTCCCAGATGGTTTTGGCTGTTCTGGATCCCTTAAATTTCCACATGAGTTTTAGGATCAGCTATCAATTTCTACAAAGAAGTCAACTGGGATTTTTATAGGGATTGTGTTCAATCTGTAGATACATGAACATGGAATATCTTTCCATTTATTTAGGTCTTCTTTGATCTCTTTCAACAGTTTTCTGAGTATATGATTGGCACTTCTTTTTTTATTGACTAGTTGATAGACAATATTATATTGATTTTAAGTATACAACATAGTGATTTGGATTTAGCACATCTTGTGTAAATTTATTTCTAAGTATTTTATTCTTTTTGATGTTCTTTAAGTGAAAATTTCCTAATACCATTTTTGGATTGTTTATTGCTAATATATAGAAATACAATTGCTTTTGGTATCTTGTACCCTGCAAACTTGATGAATTCATTTATTAATTCAAATAGTTTTTTAATGGATTCCTTAGAATTTTCTAGATATAATATCATGTTACCTGTAAATAGAGAGTTTTGCTTTTTTCCTTTCCAGTCTGGATGTCTCTTATTTTATTTTTTACCTAATTGCCTTGCTAGAACCTCAGTACAATGTTAAGTAGAAGTAGAATAGTGGACATTCTTGTTCCTGATCTTAGGGGGAAGGTTTTCAAGCTTTTCACACTGATGTCAGCTATGGGTTTTTTGTAGTTGCCCTTTATCAGGTTGAGGAAGATTCCTTCAATTCCTAGTTTGTTGAGTGTTTTTATCATTAAGGAGTGTTGGATTTTGTCAACTGTTTTTCTGTGTCTATTGAGTTGTTCAATAGACCATACTGAGTCACTTTTTCCTTTATTCTATTGATAAGTATATTACATTAATTGATTTTTTTGTATGTCAAACCAAGCTTGGGCTCCTGGAACAAATCCCACTTTGTCATAGTGTGTAATTCTTTTTGTATGTTGCTCATTTGGGTTTGCTAGTGTTCTGTAGATTTTCCATCTATATTCTTGAGATATTGTCTGTAGCTTTCTTGTGCGATGTTTTGTTTGGTTTTGGTATCAGATTATACTCACCTCATTGGGTAAATTCAGAGTGTTCCCTCTTCTGTTTTTTGGAAGTTTGTGAAAAACTGGTATCAGCTCTTTTTTTAAATGTTTTGTAGAATTTATCAGTGAAGACCTGTAGGTATGAACTTCTCTTTGTGGTAGTTTTTTGAATACTCATTAAATTTATTAATTAACTTTTATACTCTTAGACTTTTAAAATAGCATTTTGATCTTCCAGTAGGACATTAAAATTTGTTTGAAAAAGTATGAACTTTGGAAACATTATCAGACAGACGTAGCTTTGAATTCCATCTCTGGAACCTTCCACTTGGGAACAAGTTTCTTGACACCCCTGCATCTCAGTGTCTTCACCTGTAATAAAGGCAGCAGTAACATATTGGGTTGTAAGGGCTCCACTCAGGCATGCAGGGAGTTGAGAGCTGGACCTTAGCAACAGGCTCTGGGTAGCTTTTGAGATGACATCACAGCCTCTTTCTCCCTCTGCCCTTTGCTGCAGGGCACCGTGCCATTCATGGTCAGTGCCACATCTGGCACTACTGTGCTGGGTGCCTTTGACCCCCTGGAGGCAATTGCTGATGTGTGCCAGCGTCATGGACTGTGGCTGCATGTGGATGTGAGTGCAATTTGGACCTGAGGGTGGGGTGGGGTAGGTGAGTGAGTGAGTGAGGAGCTTTGGGGCAATGAAGCTAGACCCCTCTGTTCCTTTCTTGGGGGGGTTCTTAGGCTGTTTCTATTCAAGGCATCCCTCATCCCTCTCCTTGGTTTCCATGCCCATCTCCCCTGTGGGCTGCAGGGACACGTGGACAGCCTGAGGAGGACACTGTGGTACTCTTGGGCCCTGCTGAGACCCAAAGGCAGGATGGGACCCCAGGAGGCCGGAGTGGGGCTGGGTCACTGAGTGCAGTTCAGGGTGGCACCACCAGGAGGATGCATGCCTGAAACACAGGGCGGGAGGTTCTGTGAGCTGGCAGGCTCTGTGCAGGGAGACCCTCAGGCAGATGTGCGGGCCAGTGGCCAGGAGCACTGGCTGTGAGCCATGGGAAATGTGGGGCACCAGCCCTCTTCTCCACACGGGGGCAGATAAGGACTACTGCAGCCATCCTGGGGGGCATTTTGGCACTATCTGTACAATTTAAATGTATCTATCCATGGATCCAGAGTCCCACTGCTAGGATTTATTCTATGAATCATCACAAGTGCTTAGAATTCTGCACTGGAGCAAAGAGGAACATTATGTATTTTTTAAAGTGTGCATCAGTAGATAAATTATGGTGTATCTCTGTGTCTCAGTTTTGTCCTTTGTAAAATGACTGTAATACAGAACTTATTACGTAGGGATGTTGTAAGAATTGAATGAATTAGTATATGTAAAGTTATAAATAAATATTGAATATAATATATATTAGCTGCTGCTGTTGTTATTATTGGAGTACTCTGAGGTCGTTGAAAAGAGTAAGGTGAGAATATATATGTACTAACATGAAAATGCCTCCAGTATTCATCTATGTATAAAGTAGATCTAGCAAGTTACAGTGTAGAATGGACACTTTGAGCCTATTCTTATTTAGGACAATATATATTTATTGATACATGGATGTTGCTTCTGAGTAGCAATATAAGCAGTAATTAGAATAGTGGAGTACCACTGTGTATAAATTATTTTTTACTAATATATAGTTCACATGCCATACAATTCAGCTACTTATAGTGCACAATTCAGTGGTTAACATATTTACAGATGTGTACCACTATCAACTACAATAAATATTAGAACAGTTTCATCCCCCTAAAAATAAATCCCATATACCCTTTAGGCTTCAGTCTTCAATTCTCTCAAACCTCCCATTAAGCAACATTAATCTACTTTGTATCTGTGGATTTGCCTGTTCTGGATTTTTCATATAAATGGAATCATACTGTCCATGGTCTTTTGTGAAGAACTTCTTTTACTTTACATCTTTTACTATGATAGCTTCAAGGTTCATCCTTTAGCATGTACCAGTACTTCATTCTTTCCCATTGTCAAATAATATTCCATTGTATGGATGTAACACATTTTATTTATCCATTCATCTGTTGATGGACATTTGGATTGTTTCCACTTTTTAGCTGTTTTGAATAATGCTGCTCTGAACATTTGTGTACAAGTTTTTGTGAACATGTTTTGCATTTCTTTTCGTTATATACCTGGGGGTAGAATAACTGAGTCATATGGTAACTGTATGTTTAACCTTTGAGGAACTGCCAGATTGTTTTTCAAAGTGGCCGTACTGGTTTACAATCTACCAGCTTTGTATAAAGTTTCCAATTTCTCCACATCCTCACTAACACTTGTTATTTTTTTTTGTTGCTGTTCAGTGAGTATGAAGTGGTACCTTGTTGTGGTTTTGATTTGCATTTCCCTGATGACTAATGATGTTGAGCCTGTCGTGTTTATTGGTCATTTGTATATCTTCTTTGGAGAAATGTCTGTTTAGATCCTTGCCCAGTTTTTAATTGTGTTGTCCTTGATGATTGAGTTATACCAGTTCTTCATGTATTCTGTCCCTTATCAGATACATAATTTACAAATATCTTTTTCCATTCTGTAGTCTGTATTTTCACCTCCTTGATAAGTATCCTTTGAGGCACAAAAGTTTTAATTTTGATGAGGTCCAGTTCATCTTTTTTTTTTTGTTTGGTTGCTTGTGCTTTTGAGGTCATATCCAGAAAGGCTTTTCTTAACCCAAGCTCATGAACATGTACTCTGGTATTTTTATCTAAGAGTATTAAAGTTCTAACTCTTATATTTGGTTCTATGATCCATTATGAATTAATTTTTGTATATGGCGTGAAAAAAGGGTTCACCTTCACTCTTTAGCATGTGGCTATCCAGTTGTCCCGGTGCCATTTGTGAAAAGATTCTTTCCCCAGTGAATTTTCTTGGCATCTTGTTGAAAATCAGTTGACTGTAGTTGTGAGGGTGTGTTTCTGTTCCATTGATCTGCATGTCTATTCTGTAGACCACCTTGTCTTCATTGCTATGGCTTTGCAGTCAGTTTTATAATCAGGAAGTTTAAGTCCTCTGACTTTGTTCTTCTTTTCCCAGATGGTTTTGGCTGTTCTGGATCCCTTAAATTTCCACATGAGTTTTAGGATCAGCTATCAATTTCTACAAAGAAGTCAACTGGGATTTTTATAGGGATTGTGTTCAATCTGTAGATACATGAACATGGAATATCTTTCCATTTATTTAGGTCTTCTTTGATCTCTTTCAACAGTTTTCTGAGTATATGATTGGCACTTCTTTTTTTATTGACTAGTTGATAGACAATATTATATTGATTTTAAGTATACAACATAGTGATTTGGATTTAGCACATCTTGTGTAAATTTATTTCTAAGTATTTTATTCTTTTTGATGTTCTTTAAGTGAAAATTTCCTAATACCATTTTTGGATTGTTTATTGCTAATATATAGAAATACAATTGCTTTTGGTATCTTGTACCCTGCAAACTTGATGAATTCATTTATTAATTCAAATAGTTTTTTAATGGATTCCTTAGAATTTTCTAGATATAATATCATGTTACCTGTAAATAGAGAGTTTTGCTTTTTTCCTTTCCAGTCTGGATGTCTCTTATTTTATTTTTTACCTAATTGCCTTGCTAGAACCTCAGTACAATGTTAAGTAGAAGTAGAATAGTGGACATTCTTGTTCCTGATCTTAGGGGGAAGGTTTTCAAGCTTTTCACACTGATGTCAGCTATGGGTTTTTTGTAGTTGCCCTTTATCAGGTTGAGGAAGATTCCTTCAATTCCTAGTTTGTTGAGTGTTTTTATCATTAAGGAGTGTTGGATTTTGTCAACTGTTTTTCTGTGTCTATTGAGTTGTTCAATAGACCATACTGAGTCACTTTTTCCTTTATTCTATTGATAAGTATATTACATTAATTGATTTTTTTGTATGTCAAACCAAGCTTGGGCTCCTGGAACAAATCCCACTTTGTCATAGTGTGTAATTCTTTTTGTATGTTGCTCATTTGGGTTTGCTAGTGTTCTGTAGATTTTCCATCTATATTCTTGAGATATTGTCTGTAGCTTTCTTGTGCGATGTTTTGTTTGGTTTTGGTATCAGATTATACTCACCTCATTGGGTAAATTCAGAGTGTTCCCTCTTCTGTTTTTTGGAAGTTTGTGAAAAACTGGTATCAGCTCTTTTTTTAAATGTTTTGTAGAATTTATCAGTGAAGACCTGTAGGTATGAACTTCTCTTTGTGGTAGTTTTTTGAATACTCATTAAATTTATTAATTAACTTTTATACTCTTAGACTTTTAAAATAGCATTTTGATCTTCCAGTAGGACGTTAAAATTTGTTTGAAAAAGTATGAACTTTGGAAACATTATCAGACAGACGTAGCTTTGAATTCCATCTCTGGAACCTTCCACTTGGGAACAAGTTTCTTGACACCCCTGCATCTCAGTGTCTTCACCTGTAATAAAGGCAGCAGTAACATGTTGGGTTGTAAGGGCTCCACTCAGGCATGCAGGGAGTTGAGAGCTGGACCTTAGCAACAGGCTCTGGGTAGCTTTTGAGATGACATCACAGCCTCTTTCTCCCTCTGCCCTTTGCTGCAGGGCACCGTGCCATTCATGGTCAGTGCCACATCTGGCACTACTGTGCTGGGTGCCTTTGACCCCCTGGAGGCAATTGCTGATGTGTGCCAGCGTCATGGACTGTGGCTGCATGTGGATGTGAGTGCAATTTGGACCTGAGGGTGGGGTGGGGTGGGCTCAGCCGGGACAAGGCCCACCTTCTTCCTTCTGCTCCACAGGCTGCCTGGGGTGGGAGCGTCCTGCTGTCACAGACACATAGACATCTGCTGGATGGCATCCAAAGGTGCATACAGCCACCTACTTCCTGAATTGACCCTTCAAATTCTTGATCCAGAGATTACAGTGTGGACTAGGGAGCTTCAGATGGGAGTCGGGGAAGGAGGCTGGTGGGAGGAGTATTGGAGAGATGGTGGATGGGGCTGGGAGGTCAGATGTCAGACTTTGAATCCGTCCTGACTGCTGGGCTTGGGTGAGACTAAAGCCCCTTTACTGGAGATCCAGAAAAGGAGGGGAGCTCTGGTTGGGCAACCTGAGAAGGAACTGGCCAACCCAGCTCTGCTCTGCCCACCCCAGGGCTGACTCTGTGGCCTGGAATCCTCACAAGCTCCTCGCAGCAGGCCTGCAGTGCTCAGCACTTCTCCTCCAGGACACCTCGGTGGGTCTGCCCTGCCCCTGTCCTGGCCACACTGCTCACCCTGGACCACTGTCTCCTTTTCTACCCCACTTGAGAGGGGTTCTGCCTTACTGTGGTCTCCTTGCCATCCCACCTGAGGCTGAATGTCTACTACCACCTGAATCCCCAGTAGTGGGCTCCCTCACTCCCTCTGTGGCCTGTCTCCATGAAAAGGAAAGAGTTTCCAGCTTGAAGCTGTAGTCGAAGGGATCCTGGGTTGAATTTGGGAAGAATATTGGGTGTTACGAGACAACCCAGAGAAGGGGTTTGAGGTGACATGGCAGCCATCCCATCAGTGTTGCCTGGTGCCAGGGAGAAAAATGGGTGGATTGAGCTAAGAAATCCCCCCAGTGGAGCCCTGGTTGAAATCTCAATGGGGAGAGTGGGGTCTGACAGTCTCCACACTCCCCGCAGAACCTCCTCAAGCACTGCCATGGATCCCAGGCCAGCTACCTCTTCCAGCAAGACAAGTTCTATGACGTAGCTCTGGACACAGGAGACAAGGTGGTGCAGTGTGGCCGCCGTGTGGACTGTCTGAAGCTGTGGCTCATGTGGAAGGCACAGGGCGGGCAAGGGCTGGAGCGGCGTGTCGACCAGGCCTTTGCCCTTGCCCGGTAGGAGTGGGGGGTGGTCTCGGTTCCCTTCCCCCAGGGCCCATCCTCCCCAACCCCTTTCCTGCTTTCAGTGTCTCTGGGTCTCCTCTCTTTTTGTATTTCTGCCTTTGGTTCCCCATCTGTGATTACTCTCTGTTTGCAGGTACCTGGTGGAGGAAATGAAGAAGCGGGAAGGATTTGAATTGGTCATGGAGGTACAACATAGCCTGTGCTTTTTTTGCATCCCTTTCCCCAGTCAGCCCATCCCACGTGCAAAGCTCTGCTGGCGGAAGAGCCCTTCCACAGCTCACACCTTCCCCTCTCTCATTTTTCTAGCCTGAGTTCCTCAACGTGTGTTTCTGGTTCGTGCCCCCCAGCCTGCGGGGGAAGCAGGAGAGTCCGTATTACAGTGAAAGGCTGGCTGAGGTAGGCTGTCTCAGGCTCTGGTTAACCCAGTTTCAGGAACTGACACAGCTGGTGCGTTTCTGCCCCCTGCTGGCCATGAATGGCACGGGAGGTCCCTTTGCACCTCAGGTGGAATGGTGAACTGGAAGACACCAACCACCACCTTGTCCTCATTTCTATGGGGGTAGGGATGGGGAATAAAGTATGTTTATGTAAAGTTAAAAGACAGAAAGGGGCATCCTGGAGAAGTCACCACTAGGCAGTACATATACTCTGTGCTGGAAGTTCCTGCTGGGGAACTCAGGCGTAGGATGGAGATGTGAGGAAGAAAGATCATGGAAGAGCTTTACTCACTGATACTGGGGTCAGAACAACCTTGTAAGGCCAGTCTAGACTTGCCTCATAGAGGCAAGGAGATATGTCCTGGTCCCTAAGGATAGATTGGTAGAAGGTACTGCAAATGATCTGAAAAGACAACAATGTTCTTGCCTTTAATGAGTTACTATTTTAGAAAACAAGAATTACCTATTTGAAACCAATGTGTTCAAGGCAATCTTGTAAATTACATGTTAGATCACAGGGTTCAGATAAAAATATTACAGGAATTCAGAGGGGAGAGGGCTTTAAGGATGACTAAGGCTTGAAGTTAGACTACAGCTGTATTGGGAATCGGGAGAGTCAGGATTTGGCAGAAAATGACCTGTGTGACAACTTGGAGATGGGCACGATGGGAAATAATGCAGAAGATAAGAAAGCTGTGCAGGTTGGATGTGGTGGAAAAGGTAAACCGGGGCCTTGGTCAGTATCTGAGCAACAAGTGCTTCCTCTGGAAGGTGGCAGAGTGGAGGGAAAGCCAGGAAGCCAGCCCCCCTCCCCCGGAACCCAGGCTGCGGGTGGAAGCTCTCTCCACCATTTCTGCAGGTGGCCCCAGTACTCAAGGAGCGCATGGTGAAGGAGGGCTCCATGATGATTGGCTACCAGCCCCACGGGACCCGGGGCAACTTTTTCCGCATGGTCGTGGCCAACCCTGCGCTGACCCAGGCTGATATGGACTTTCTCCTCAATGAGCTGGAAAGGCTGGGCCAGGATCTCTGACCCCCCTCTTTCTGGCTGCTGACCTTGACACCCCACCTCACCCTCACTGTCTCCATGTACCCTCCCTGTGATGGCAAGAACAGCTCTTCTAGGAAACAAAGTGTTCTTAACAATGTTTATATGCTTTAACCCACTAATTCTCCTTTTAAATATTTGATAATTAGAAGAATGTTTGAACTATAGTAAAGCTATATGATAGAATGTTTTTCTGTCATTAAAATTATATTTACAAAGGATTTTTATTGATATGAGAAAAAATCAGTAAGACTTCACATATAGTTATATCTGAGCTATGTTTAAAAATACATAGGCAAAGACTGATGAAATGAAATATGCTGAAATGTTAATAGCTTTTCCCAGGATGGGATTATATTTAACAATTTAAAAATTAGCTTCTTTATACCTTTTGGGCTTCCCCCTTTTATTATATGATGGGTATGTATTACATTTGTAGTAGGAAAATTAAAAAACTGAAAATTCTACTATATTCATTTATCATTTTCAAATTTATTACCTTTCAACCAAATCATGGAGAATGCAAATGTATTTTTTAAGAAAGGCCAGTGTAAGAGAGGCTAAAAATGGGAACGCCTTTTTCCCCAAAAATCTTTAGTAGGAGGGAAAAGACCAAAAGTGGAGTCACTGTAAAAATGAATTATACTTTACTGACGTTGTAGACCAAATGTGCACTGACTATACCTTGAGACCAGTGCCTTGTCCATTTATCACTCTTGGAAAATCCTCACACACACACACACACACACACACACACAAAGCAAGAGTTTTTCCATCTGTAATTGAAACAACAGAAACTGAGTTCAGAAAGTCCAGCAACCAAAGCAACCACTGTAATGTCTTCTGGTATCATTACTGTCTTACATAAAAAACACCCATTTAACACCCACAGTCCTGGGCTGGTGGTGTTTCTCAGTTACATTTTGGGAAAGAAGCATTTAGCTGTGCAAGTTATTAAGGACAAGTGGCAAGTCTACCAGAACTTTTTGTTACTCCAATTCCTAAAAATACCATTTATGAAAACAATAACATGGTCACATAAAAGTCATCCAAAATTATTTGAAAAGGCAAATACAGACTGTACAAACCATAGCAAAAGAACATGCAAATCTCAGACCCAGTTCTCTTGACCATTTGGGGAAAAAAAGCCTTTCTATTCATAAATTACTAATAATTTCCCTATAAACTTGTTATTCTAGTTATAAGTGGCATTTTAATTTCTTCCAAATAGTAAAGTTGTTTTGAGAGTATCAATAATCTGAACTCCATGCACTAATCATAAGGAGTTTTATTTATCTACAGAATGTCTTAAATATAGTAAAAAAGGCAGACTAAGGAAAAAAAAATCCTTATTTTCAACTCAAAGCAAAGCCAGAAAGCAGAAACAACAAAATCTTCAAATTATTGGAATCATCTCCTTTTGAGAAGTATTTTTAAGAGAAGCCCTGAAATACAGGACATAAAATCAGTTAAACATGTATTTTTCTCCAGCTGTATAAAGCTGATATTTTTATCCTGAGTTCCCAAAATTCAACTGCAAAATCTCTGGATAAAATATGGCAGTTTCTCTCTTATTTCCTCTCTCCCATCAACATTTGCTGTCCTCCCTGCCTTCAAAGAGCTTAAGATTTAAGCAGTCATCCCCCCAGCTGAGGCATGCTCCTGTGCCAGAGCCTCTATACCTCCTGTCCCCTTTTGCATCAATGTTCCTCCGTCTACACAGTTGGCTTCTCATTGCCTTTAGATTTTTGTTCAGATGTCACCTCCTTAGTGAAGCCTCCCTTGAATGTTCTATTTAAATGAACATTTTCACCCTTGAGCACTTGCCTATTCCTCTATCTGTGCTGTTTTTCTCCACTGCATGTATAAGCACCTGGCATATTGTGTATTTCAGTTACCTATCTATCTATCATCTATCTATTATCTATCTACCTATCATCTATCTATTATCTATCATCTGTATCTATTTACTTCTTGCCTTTTCTGTCTCACCCAACTAGAATGTAAGCTCTGAGAGCAGAGATTTTTTATCACTGCCTCCTATAAAATGGGAATTTGGTTACTTCCTGGGTGGGTAATGATGAGTAAATGGTTAATGAACTTCAGGAACTAGTTGATGTGCTCTCAGTTATGTAACTTCTAAGTGGTGGGGTCAAAGCCAATTCAGACCATCTTTCTTGGATACTTAACCATGGACCTAGCGTGCTTGTGTGGAGTGGTGTACGTAATTCACAGGTTTGTGGATGTCAGGGCAGTTTGATTCGGTGGATTCGCTGTTTGCGGGAAAGCTGAAGCCTTGCACAGGTTTGGTCACCCATCCTGCAGAAATCCTATTTCCATCAAACAGGAAACAAGGGTGTTGGGAACACGTGGGTGGCTGGTGATGTTGGAATGAAGATTTTTTATGGCTTAAAGGGGTCAAAGTGTTTACCAGCCTCCACATGGCCGTGGAAAGAAAATGGTTCATTCACAGGGAGGCAGGCCAAGAACTGGGGAGCTGCAAACTGGGAGGGGCACCTATCATGTGCCAGCTCTTGAGGTTGAGGGTAAGAGCCCTTTTAAGGAAGTGGAGTAAGGGGTGCAAGCTACAGTTATGTCAGATTTGGACACTTGGACCTGTTCTTATGCACCTTGGGTTCTCAATTGCCTATTTCTCTTCTGTTTATGTATCTTTTGAAAATCTTTTTATTTTGAAATACTTTGAAACTTATAGGAAAGTTGCAAGAATAGTTACAAAGAACTTCCCTATACTCTTTATCTAAATTTATCAATTTCTCACATTTTGACAAGTTTTGTGCATAGTCCTTTATGTATGTACTATAACATTTTTTCTGAATCATTTGAGAGCTGGGTGCATACATTGCACCCCTTAAATGTTAATACTCTAGCCTGTATTTCCTAAGAACAAGAATACTCTCTTAAATAATCATGGTACAATGACTAAATTCAGGAAATTTAACATTGACGCTGTAACCTTAAGTTCATATTCTAAAATTGCCAATGTCCCAATAATGCCCTTTATGGCACTTTCCCCCTCCAGTGTGAGATCCCAGTTGAGAACCATGTACTACATTTTTTTTGTCATGTCTCTTTGTCTTCTTTAATCTAAAATAGTTCCTCAGCCTTCCTTTGTTATTAATGACATTGACATTTTTAAGGAATAACAGGCCAGTTATTTTATAGAATGTTCATCAATTTATTTTTTCCTGTGTTTCCACACAACTGGATTCAGGCTACACATTCTGAGCTGGAATATGACATGAGTCATGTGTGTACTATTCCGGTTAGCCCATCCCATGGCCCACAGCGTCCATCTGTATGAAATGTGATCCATCTAATCTATTTAAAAACATTCACATATACAACATATAAATGAATGAAAATCACCGTATTGTTTTAAAATTGATGTATAGTACATAAAACTTGCTTTTCATGCCATGTGTTTGTCTTTTAACGGTGATAGAGTAACTCCATTAATGTTTATACCTGTTCTTTATTCACCCACTTCCCTTTTAGGCTTTTAGGTTATTTCCAAATTTCTGTTATACCCACAGTACTTGTACAAGTGTCTGGATACTATTAGAAGCAAGTTACAGAAATCTAATTCTGGATTTAACCAGAGGAAATGTATTATCTTACATAACCATGTTAAAAAACAAAATTCAAGTGAACAAATTTTAAAGACCTACTTGGCGCTATTCAACAATTCATGAGTCAGGCGGCAGCCAATGGAGCAGATAGAAAGGAGCTCTGGGGAGTTAAACCAAATGAAGGACTTTTATGGGCAGAAGGGAGCAAGAACAAAGCAGTTACACTAGCAACAGGTGGGTTGGTGTGGCAAGGTTTATGCCTTCAGGGGATGGCAGGGGTCTATCAGGCAGGGTATATCACTAGTGTTGGCCAGGTGAGTCCTGACTGACTGGTTTCAGATCGCATTTCTGGGGGAGCTGAAACTGTAACTAAGTCTTGGTTTGGTTATGTGGGGCTTAGCATAAATGACTCCATTTTGGGCCTATTGTCGTGTTTCTAATAACTATAAGCCCTCAGATAAGACTGACCTGAGTCCATTGCATCAGGAGCTTAATGACCTCAAGGACTTATATCTTTCCATCTGTCTGCTACCCTGCATGTTGGCTTCATCCTCAGGCTGGTTCCCAGATGGCTAGAGTCCTAGATGCTAGGTCCGGAGAAGCAAGGGAGTGCATCTCATCCTGTAGCTGTCTTCTAGGATCAGGAAACTTTTCTCCGAAGCCCACCAGGAGCTATCTCCCCTATGTCATTGGCCTGAATCGGGTCACATACCCAATCTTGAGAAGGAGATCTCTCTCTCCTTATTGTGGTGAAATATACATAACATATTGTTTCCTCATTGGCTGTACCATTATACATTCTCACCAGCAACATTATTAGCCATTTCCCACAAGCGTTCTGATTTCTCCACATTCTCGCCAGCACTTGTTATTTCCTGTTTTGTTTGTTTTTAGTAATAGCCATCCTAATGGATGTGAAGTGGTATCTCCCTGTGCAAATGGAATCTCTTAAACCAGTGGTTTACACTGGTGGTTGTACATTAAACTCACCCTGAGAAATTTTACACCTAACCCACCTCTAGACTTTGATTTAACAGGCATTGGTTAGGACCTAGGCATTGATACATTTGAAATATACCCCACTGTAGGGCCTCTGATTGAGGCCAAGCTTGAGAACCACTAGCCAGAGACAAATGTTCCAGAAAAAAATGAATGTTGGGGAATCAATTGCAGCATTCAGTACTACTCAGAAGTAAAATTCCTGAGTCCTCAGTTGGGTTTCTGTACTTACTTTGTAGAGCCAAGTCTGAATTATTCCTAGAAATTTAGAACCGGAAGTAAGTAGCCTGTTAACCCAGGTAACTATCAGGGACAGAAAATACACTGCTTGCTGCTTAATTTCCTCACCCAGCAAACTTTTTTTTTGTCTGAATTGGCAACAAACACTGTGCTAAGCTGACTGGTTCTGCACTTTGGCCAGACTTTATCGTTTCATGTGGTTAGTTTGTTTTTAACAGCTTTATTGAGATATAATTCACATGTCCCACAATTCACCTACTTAAAGCATCCAACTCAATGGCTTTTAATATAGTTGTGGAACTGTCACCAAATTCCATGGCATTTCTTTCTTTCTGTCTTTTTTTTTTTTTTTTAAGTCTTCACTAACAGAAATGCAATTTGGAACAAAAGGAGCCAAAAGCTGACATCGAGTGAAAAAGAAGCAGGAACAAGGAGTCTTGATGAGCCACAAAATACACACATAATTCTTCACAAAGAAGAATGCACTGTGCAAGATAAAATAAAAGCAATGGAAGACTGAATCTACAGCTGATGATGGTGATGACATTGTTACAACTCAGTGATGCCAACCTGAACACAACACAGCCTGAGAGCTCTCCTGATTTCCTCCCCAGCTCCCTGTGTGTTTAACGGCCTTTTCAAT